CCTGTGTAGGCACGGCGCATAGGTCCTGCCAGCACCGCCACCACAGCTGGGACTCACCTCGCCTCCTCCCTCCTTCTGCCTCCCCCACACTCTCTCCATTTGTTCTTGTTGCCAGGCGGGGATGCAGGCTGTGCACAGCTCCTCCTCACGAACATTGTAATCAGCATTTGTTTAGTGTTATTATATGTGCCTAAGAGAAGGAGGCTTGAGGGGCAGGTTATCCTTCCTTTCCTGCAAGTAGCCAAGTGCTCACTGTGAAGCCCATAAGGACAGAGGAGGATTGCAGAGTGGAATCCTGCTGCTGCTGCTGGCTCTGACAGCCTGATTTAGAGGTGCTTTTTCTTACCTCTGACACAGAGTCCCAGCCTGCCCCGCTCTACTGCAGGGTTGGGAGAAGAATAGTGGTGCTTATCCTGAAAGCCTGTTATTTGTGTGTGTGTGTGTGTGTGAGAGAGAGAGAGCGCGCATTCACTTGTATGTGTGTGTTTGCTCACACAGCATGCTGGCATTTCTTTTTAACAACCTCCTTTGTCAGTCACTGAGATGTCGTAGATTGCGTGAGCACAGCAGATCTCTTGTACCTCGCCAGTGTATGTTCACACACATACAGTTTGTGTGTGTGTGTGTGTGTGTGTGTGTGTGTGTGTGTGTGTGTGTGTGTGTGTGTGTGTGTGTGTGTGTGTGTGTGTGTGTGTGTGTGTGTGTGTGTGTGTGTGTGTGTGTGTGTGTGTGTGTGTGTGTGTTCTGTCGTCCAGATGGAAGTGCTTATTGAGTGCTGGTGTGCTGGCAGATATCTCAGAAAGAAGGAAAATGAGGAAGAGAGAAAGCCGAGTGGAAAACCCTTCCAATCAGATCCATCATCTGTGTGTGTGTTTATGCGAGTGTATATGTGATCTTCCCAGCCAGCTCTTCCTGCCTCCCCTTTCTAATCTTATCATGTCGGAGCAGCAGATTAGTCCTCCCAGATCCCATCTCTGCCTCCAAATGCCACAATCAGCCTTTTGTTCTTTGGTTGTGCTTACTCTCCCCTTGCGGCAGGCGAGGTGAACACTCCCACAATCCGCCCTCCGTGCCATTTTGAGCCTCTGCCTGTCAATGTCACGTCGCTACCAGCCCTGATCTACCATACCCGAGCCTCCCCGTGCCCCTGGGGCGTTAGCTAACTAAGCTGTTAGCTCAGCAGCCTGCTAGCCTAGCTGAACTGCTTGACATTCCTTGCTAACACTGAACGCTGCCGCTGCTGCTCTTGTCTATTTGACCTCCCCCTCCTCCGTCCCTCACTCCCTTCCTCTCTCTCTCTCCCCCTGTCTCCTTTATCTGTGTGTTTGGGATCTGTCTTTCCTTCCTTACTCCTGGCTGCCACCTCCTGAAGGAAGTCATAGATCCTGGCTGCTGATGTCACCAGTGAGGGGGGGGGGTCACTAACAGGGTTAGCAGAGGAAGAAGAGAGTGTTTGAAAAGCAGAGAAAATAAACAGAGGTTTCCTGTTAACGAGGTGCACTGGGGGCCTGTCGTGTGGGAGCAGGAGGGTCTGGTTTTGTTTAAAGCAAAGCTCTTGTGTTACAGTGCGGAGAGGAGGAGGAATAGGGTATTAGGTTTGAGGGTTACAGGTTGTAACAACGTTCCCTTAGTTTTGTCACAGCTCAGCTTGGCTGCGAGGCGATGATCGTATTGTAAAAGGCCACTGTGAACAGATGTGGGAGAAAGTTGCTGCTGCCGCTGTGCACTCTCCCGAACATTGAAAGGTATTAGAGTTGTCATTACTTTTTGCACTGTATTGATTTCACACTCTTCTAGTTGTAAACATGGAATTAATTCCACACTCAGTCCATCTTTTAAGTGTCTAACAGAGCTGGTTTCTTTTCAAATTAAAAGCCTTTCCTTGTTAAAAGAAAAGTCTGCCTCCTGTATTCCCCCCCCAGTCTTTGTAATGGTGTGGTCGTACACAGGGGCCCCAACTCCAGAGCTGACTGCACACACATGCAGCCACACAAAGAAAACTGCACAGCCATTATGGATCCAAGGGGCCAGCCACCTTTAGCTAGTCAGAGGGAGAATTAACCGACTCACACAATGGCCTGGCTTGTATTGGCTGCTTTTAGAACAGTAATGAATGCATTGATTTTTTTTTTTTTTATTTATTAATAGTGACACATTTTGGATTCATTCTACAAGAAATATACTTTATAGTCTTGTAATATTCCTGTGGCCCTCCTATAATCCAACCCCTGTCTGATGATGAGTGTACCCAAGAATGCCACAGGCCAGGCTGAGCCACTGGAGGGGAGGGGAGGTACCATTGTGCTCAGCCCCAAAGCATGACTTTCAGATTTATATCTTCTCAATGAATAAAGGGGTAGCCTTGTACCCTGGGGGCTTCAGTAAAGCAGGAGGAGGATAGTTGTAATTTTAAGTCTGAGGAAATGAGAAGGTCTTGCTCCTCCTACCTTAATCCAACCCCTTTCTCGCCCCCCTCCTCTATCTCCTTTGCTCTGCTTCCTTGCACTTTCTCTTTTTTCCTCTTGTTTCATTTCTTTCTCTCAGTAGTGGGTTAGTAAGTCTTTTGGCCTCTCCGCAGCGAGCGGCATTCCCAGGGTTTAGGGCTCAGGAGGAGGGAGGGCAGGGCCATGTTTAGCCTCTGGCAGGACAGACAAAGATGGCTGACATTGTGCGGGGCTCAGCTCTCTACAGGCAGCATGGAATGTCTCTAATCAATTCAGCATTGTGGGTTCCCTCTTATATGTTCTCTCTCTGTTATTTTCTATGGCAGGCTTAGCAAAAACCCAGACAATACAACTAGTAGTTGGTGTGGTGAGTCTGAGCTGTCTATCATCCCCCTTCATTTTCTCCTTGCGTTATCTACTCATTTTTCCACCCCGCATGTTTATAGAATTGTGATAATTGAAAGCTATGCTTCACTCCCACTACGTGCTCCATATGTTGCACTCTCAGTCTTTCTCTCCATCTCCCTCCCTCTTTTGCCTGAGAGGGCTTAACGCCGCTGTGAGCTTCTAAACAGCAATCTGCTCGGGAGAGCGGCAGCTACTCTGTAGTGACGAGGATACTGATGATAGCTGAAGTAACATTTGCTCTCTGCTTTGGTTCATTTGGTTGGTTTAAAATAATGCAGGCTCATGAATAAGGTGTAAAACTATGAGTGTGTGTGTCTTTCCGCCTGCTTGTGCTTTTCTGTTTTTGCATCAGGCTCTCTGAAAACCCTTTGATTTTGTGGTTTTTACAGGCAGAAAATGAAATGTTCAGGTGGCACACTGGCAGCATTTACAGTCTCCTTAAAGTATTAATTATGTATAAGCACCGGATAACTGCTCGTTCTGCTGTGGCAGGCAGCCTGTTAGTCTAGAAGGCAACAGTGTCTGTACACTGGATAGACAAGAGGTTTGGATGGGTGGGCTAACTGCTGGGAGGGAAGGAGGGAGGTGGGAGGGACATGACGTCATTGCACACATTTCTTCACACACAGTATGGCTACGTGCTCAAGGGGTCTCTGTCTCAGTCCATCAGTATGGCTCGCTGTCAAATAACAAGCAAAAGTCTGTGCGGTTATGTGATGTTGCGTGAGTACTCGCACAATCGTCCAGAGCAGTAAATGCAGCTGACTGACTGCGTGCCAGCTGCTGTTTAACACGTCCAGGCTCACTTACGCACTCATTCCTCCTCGCTGCTCAAGGTTGCATAAAGGGAAGAACAAGGGAAAGAAAATGGAGAGGAGTGTAGGGTTGGAATGAGAAAGATGGAGAAGGGAGGGAGGGAGGGAGGGAGGGAGGGAGGCAGGAATGGAGAGAATGGGGAAAACCAGAGGTGGGTTTGAGGGTTTAGGGAGGTGATGATTTGCTTGGCTGCATGTGCTCAGCCTCCTCCCCAGTGACATAACAGAACAATGTACTCTAAAGGCTTTAAATATCTTTACTCTGACCTCATCTTCCTCTACACACACACACACACACACACGCACACACTCACACACACAGATACAATTAAGAGCCTGGAAAGAGCAGAACTGTCTGTCTTCAGTTATCTTAGACTTTTTCCCTTCTTCTATTTTTTTCCCATATGCTCATTTCTCCTTTACTCAACGGGTGGTGGCAGTGGTGGTGCAGGTGTCTCAGTCGGTGAGTGCAGTGCAGTGTAGCCGAGTCCCTAATAAAGATGGCTGGGGCCAATAGGATTGTGCCGCAGTCCAGCACACAGCACGGCAGTCTCTCTAATGTTCTTTCTAACCACTGTGACGGTCAGTTGGGCTTATGTGAAGGCACAATAAATATTTTATAACATGAAATGAAAACAGTATTTTGCCCTTTTCATCCCTCACCTCTGCACTGGCCTCAGTTTCTACCATTTTCTTCCAACCCCCCCCTTACATCCCTTACCTCCCTTCTCTGTTTTTTCATTGACTGGCCCTGGAAAAAGCTCTCTTTTCACCTCAGTGCTGCCGCTTGCTGTTCATCTAAGGGATTACAAGCCTTTGCTGAGTTGCATTTTATCAGAAGGCCAGTGGGTGGCAGCACTTAAAAAGTGTAATGTCCAAATCCTAGTAAAAGGACAAAGTACCTGTGCATGAGTACACTTTAAAAGCCCAAATAGTATGTTAAAACCGTTTGTTATTAAGTGAAGAGAAAGCAGAAGGCAGTGGATTGATTTGCAGGAGGCAGAGAACACTGTGAACACTCATCCATCCATCCCCCCTCGTGGTTCTTCTCTCTCCACATTTCCTCCAGCAACGGCCATCCCACTGTTTACTTTATTAAGGCTCTAAATGCTCAGCAATCCCTTTTTAATTGACTTGGTCTCTCTGCTTGCTTTTTGGCATCAGCCTGTGTGAGTCATAAACAGTGCGTCTGCACAGCATCACTGTTTGCCAAGAGGCCAGTTTGTGACGTCGTAATCAAACAAAATGATGTCTGTTTATCTTAGTGTGAGATCTCTTTTTAGTATTATTATTTGTCTCCTGCTCACTCCCTCTGTGTCTCTTTGTGTTGCAGAGTAAACGGGACCATCTGCTGATGAATGTGAAATGGTACTACCGCCAGTCAGAGGTGCCCGACTCTGTCTACCAGCACCTGGTGCAGGATCGCAACAATGAAAACGGTGAGACCGCCTTGTGTTTGCTGAAAACTCATCCGCACACGTGCATTTTACACAGCAGACTTCCATACACAGAAAGTAAATTCACTTACTTGCCCTGTAATACTACACTCAATTTCTCTCCTTCGCAAACACACACCTGCCTCTGCTCTCCAGACTGTTGGCGGATGCAAGAGCTAGCTGTGAATTGCATTTCAAACAGAATCCAGAAGACAGTGTCCCAGGCAACAGAGCCAATCCCATGGCTCTGTGCTGTTCCCCGGGTAACACTCCTTCAGGCCAGACAGCAGCACTGTCAAGTGTTAATAACCCACAGTGTAATGTGGCCCTTGAGCACACATTCTGAACACCATCAGTGCCAGTGGACCCGTCACACTCTAACAGGGACATAAACACCGTCCCTGATTTTTAGCACCTGAATATCAAATGGTGATGACTGAAAGGTCACAGAGGAAAATCAGATTGAACAATGACTTTTAATGGTTGAAATAATCAGTTGATGAATAAGTATGTGGATTTTAGAAATGACCTACACTAGGCCACATACCATTATACTGTATTGTGTTTTTTTATTCATGTTAAATTAAAAAATCTTTGTTATTTTGACAGATTTTAATTTTTAATTATTAAAGTCATTACATAGTTGTACATGTAAATCTCTAAGCTGAGTTAGCCTGCCCTCAACAAGTGTTTAATTGGTCAGATACATAATTTCATTACAATATACATAATTAATTATTTTCTCAATGGATCTTTCAGTGTTATTTAAAATATTGTTCCTAAAATGTTATTTTGTGTTGTACTGTAGCAGGCTCTGTGTTCTTGCTATAAACAATTTGTTAATAGTATATTTTATTTTAACAGGTTAGATTATTGGGTGTGTTTCCCTTAAGAGTGCGTATCATTTAAACTCAGTTTTGATAAAAAAGCAGCCGTGTATACTCACAACACACACACACACACGCACACACACACACACACTCACCTGTTGACACATCCTGTTAGCATTTCTAATTAGCCAACAAGTTGCTTTCAGTTTTCCTCAGACTGCAGTCGACTCTATAAAAACAGCCTTGAAACCAGAGAACAAATACATATGCAGCCATACTTACAATCAAACCATGTGTTATGCTGTTTTCCCTCTTTGTAATAATCCAAGTATTACTTGTGTGAGAGGAAAGACTTCAGTTTAGGTATGTCATTGAGGTTATCAACCTAACACTTGCTGTTCCCTCCAGAAACAGCTTCAGTGCGCACTGCTCCGCTATCTGCAGTCTGTCCTTGCAGCGGGGACTCAGGATTATTAGAATTGATGTCACAAGGCCGGAGCACAGTGGCCACAGCACGCCACAACTCAGGTCATTTGTCAACGACGAATACCGGCTCCTGGTGCTGTTGATGCATCTTAACCCCCGGAAGGGTCATTTCACTTGAGAACTGAACATTATGTCCTCTCCTCGGGGGACCGCACTTTATTGGCTTTATTGAATTATGTGGCATATTATTGACCTCTGCAGAGGTACTTGTTACTTTGGGTGTACGCAGAACTGTGCTCATGATTTTATTAGTGAGTTCGAATAGCAAAGCTACTTTATCTCTGTTCCCTCTTTGTCATAGATGAATGAGTTTGGTTGTGTTTGGCATTGTATATAATGTAGATATAGGCATTCAGTACAACTGTGTTTTTTCTTCCTCCAGACTCTGGACGGGAGCTGGTTATCACAGACCCGGTGGTCAGGAGTCGAGAACTCTTCATCTCTGACTATGTGGACACTTATCATGCTGCTGCTCTCAGGTAAACAAACACTAACACACACATAGAACAACTAGGATCCTTATAATCTTAGCTGTGGCACTTTAAAGGAACAGTATACATTTCCAACATGTCTCTCTCACTGTCCAGTAACATCGCGGCTGCTGCGATTGCAGTGTTTGCATTTATAACACAGTAACCCTGTTACACCACACAGCTTTTATTTGTGGTGTTTTGTTGCATTTGCCTGTTGAGTTCACAGTTGTAGCCTATTTTTAAATTGAAAGCAAGCCAATTTCTGTGGACCGGAAAATTATTAATTTAACTGATGTTTTATTTTCATTACCACATGCAAAATTCAGGCACTTTTTGTGGCACCTCGTGCTGTGCTTCAGGATTTCTATTTCATGAAACGGCCACAAATCAGGTGCTACTATACCGACAATTCAACTCCCCCTCAACCAAATACTGGTCTTATATAGTCAAACAGACTAATGACTGTGTTTTTATTGGATACACCGCAATTTTAAAATACTCGCCTGTAGGGATGTAACGATAAACTCAACTCACGATTCAATGCGGTTCATGATTTTTTGTTCACGATCCGGTTTTCTCACCTTTTTTTTTTTTTTATCAAAATGAGCTACAGACAAATTATGACCAAATAAAATGATCTTTTATTCGTAGGAAAATAAAATCTTAGAGGTGCTTTCTTTACAGAAACTCTGTAAAACAGTTTGTGTCCTCTTATAAAAATTGCAACTTACATGGTCATCTTAAACAACAAAATACATGAAAAATATCTCCTTTCTTTAGAAACGATCTCACAAGTAAACTGGTGTTAACTGATGTAATTCAATATCTTAAATAACAAAAGAATATAAAATCTTGACTAAAAATGAATCACCAACCAGTGACTTTTTTTTAAGATAACGTAACCTACTTCTGAAAAAAAAAGAAAGAGAAAGAACATATCCTACTTCTCTTGCATCCGTGATTCATTTTTTCTGTCAACCGGTGCGAATCGTCACGCATTTGTACCGATTTTTAATCGTGTCACGATCACATCGTTACATCCCTACTCGCCTGCTGTGATCCAGATTCAGGAGACGGAAGAATGACTCTACCCTCTCTCTCTGACTGCTACAATCTACTATATTTATCCTCATGTATCTGTATTTTTCTGAACAGTGGCAACATGGTAATAGTACTACATTACTACTGTGTTTCTGTCAATTGTCCATGAACCAAGTCACAGCAATTTTTCTATTCCATTTATTCGGAGTTAAACTAATATACCGTGCTTTGCTGCTGTGAGCAGGTGCTGCAGAAATAGAGCAGATGTGTAGAAATGAAAAGCCATAAATGAGACTTGTGTCTCACGCTGTCTTACATTAATACACTGATTGAAATGGCTGTGCATCAACTCCCCCAAACGCACACCTGTCACTACATGAGCCTCTGGAGTGAAACTGATGGCACTCAATCTCTTTGTGCTTTATGTCAGCAATGTACAGGGATCGTTTTCTTTCTCTCTGTGTTACCGCCTCTGTCTTTCCATCCATTCCTGTCTGACCACCCCTCCCACCTCTCCCACTTCCCGTTTTCTTTAACCAAAACCATGTGTGAGCAGCACAGCGGCGGGCAGCCAAAGCCATGTCTCCCAGAAACCACTGATTTCAGGGCAAATTAGCTGCAACTTCTCCTACACAGAGCACCCTTTGATTTGACTTATTCTCCAGGCTTAAGATAAACGAGAGGGAATTCCAGCGGGGTGCTGTAATGCCGCAGCTCTCCGAAGACAGCCCTCTTTAGTGCCCTTTAATCTTTTCAGGGGGAAGGAAGATACTGTTTCTCTGCAAGGCAGCCCAGCTCTGTGTGCCTGTGATGTCTGTTATTCTGATAGAGCCAGACACCAGAGTGCTGGAAACAGGAAATGGTATCAAGATGTGGTCGGAGCCTCAGCACTCTCAGCTCATTGGGGGGTAATCGTGTCGGGAGTGAGACACACAGGTTGAATTCCTGTCCAGATCTCTGCAACGTCTGTCTCCCATCATGCCCCAGCTGCAGCAGACAGGGCAGAGCTGACATGTTCAGCTGGTGTTTACGGGTTCAGTAGCCAGAGCCTGATGTCTCACAGCAAAGTCAGCAGGCACTGACAGGCACTAGATACCTGCTGCTGTATTTGTCACCTCCAATAGATGAATATCCCAAGAGCTTCTAATTAGGGCTACGTCTGCTCCTGCTAGGGTATCACTTTGTCATGTAGTTGTTGTTGTCTAATAAGGCCTGTCTTTTTTCTCTCTCACAGGGGGAAATGCAACATTTCCCATTTCTCCGACATTTTTGCTGCCAGGGAGTTCAAAGCCCGCATCGACTCCTTTTTCTATATCCTCGGATATAACCCAGAGACCAGGTGAGGAGCTTTCTGTCCAGTCAATTCCACTGATACAATACCCTTCTTAGTCCTCCCACAGACCAGAAATGCTGGTTCAACACTCTGTGCATCTGATACAATTTTAATTAAAATAGGGATGCAACTAATGATTATTTTTCTAATTAATCAATTCATTTTTTCGTCTGTAAAATGTCAGAATATTGTGAAAAATTCGCCCAAGTTGACGTCTTCACATTTGATTGTTTATTCTGACAAACCCCCAAAATATTCAGTTTACTATCACGTAAGACAAAGAAAAACAGTAGATCCTCACAATTGAGAGGCTAGAATTAGGTAGTAATGTTTAGGATTATTACATGAGTAATGACAATTAATTATTAAAAATTTAATAATCAAAGATGATTAGTCTGTCAGTCAATTAATTGCCAGTTTTTTTTTTTTTTTTTTTTTTTCAGCTATAAATTCAAAGTTGCTGGGTTCAATTTAATTGCAATGATAATTATAGCCATTAGTTACAGCTGAGCAGTTTACTGATACAATGCAGTTAAAACTATATGAGGCAAGATGTTGGAAGGGGTTTTTATGAAGTAATATCCCAACAATGACCATATACTGAATCCTCAGTAGTAATACATATTATTTGATGGCACTAATAGACAAATTAAAAATGTCAGCAAGTTATAGATCTCAAGATATTGAGTCAGAAATATTATTATATTTGCTTTTTTCACTATCGTAAATACTATTAAAATGTGTGGATTTGTAGGATGTTTCACATGAGCACTCTGCATTTTTGGCTGTGGATGCACAGTGTTATGTCTAATGATGCTTTCTACTCATTACTGCTGTCAGTGTTATCAGTGCACAAAGGATGGTCCTAATGTGGTGTAATTATGGAGTTTGATCCCAGGAGACCCCTGTGGCTTTATAATTGTTTGGGCGTTTGTTGATATTTGTCAGATTACGTGATTAAGTTTTCATTACCGATCTTTTACGTTAAAATGAAGATTAGAACGGAAAAATCTAGATGAAGCTCATCAATGGTATCAAGTCACTTGTTTGATAAGGATGACTGACACAATGTCACTGTAATAAGAATGACTCAATTGATGTTGATGGTCTCAAAAGATGACTTTTAATAAGTTGTTTTTATGTCTGCTCAGCTGGCCGCGTTGTGAATTACATTTACTGACCCTATACGTGCATTCAGCCATGTGCACCATGTGTGCAGCGATCATGCATCAGGTTCGTCGAAAGAATAAGAGGTAGTTTTGTTTTTTTATGGGCCCAGGCGCAGTCTGAACAGATGAGTTTTCAGTTTTCAAATGGTTAAATAACCCGTCATAAGTGTCACGAACTTTGAACCCCGTCTTTACTGTGTTGTAGTTTGTTGTGCTAGAAAATAACTTTTTTCATAGTTTATTTGAATATTTAAGCATTTCAGCTTATCATTTATATGTCATTATTTACCTATTGTATCATGTATGTTTAATATAGAGTTTATGGGACATGTTTGTTGGTTACAATACGTGATGAGCCGTTGAATCATTTAGGTGCTGAAGCAAAATTGATGAACCTCTCATTGTTATTATCCACTAGTGGTGTCTCACGTGTTGCAGTGTCAGCTGTCCTTGTTATTGGCACCTTGGGTTGCCAGTTGGGAACCCCCTCCTTCAGAGCCCTGTTCAGTCTCAGTCTCCCTCCCTCCCTCCCTCCCCTGCTCCGCTCGTTTGGTATTCTGAGCGGGGTGTCTGCAGCCTTGCAATTTCACTCTTGTTTATTATGGCGCAGACATACGAGGAGAGATGAATTCCGTATCCTGTATGCGTGTCTGTCTGCTTCTCTCTATGTGTGTGTGTGTGTGTGTGTGTGTGTGTGTGTGTGTGTGTGTGTGCGCGCGCGCGCCTCTGTGAGTGAGTGAGTGTGTGTGTGTGTGTGTGTGTGTGTGTGTGTGTGTGTGTGTGTGTGTGTGTGTGTGTGTGTGTGTGTGTGTGTGTGTGTGTGTGAGGTCGCAGCACATGCTCAGTAGTGTCTACAGAGGAGCGAGCCGAGCTTGCGACGCTGTACGTGCAGGCTGAGGTCACAGCACAAGCTCAGTGAATACCTCTCCGGGAGCGAATGCGTGGTTCTCCATTTTGAGCACCTAGAAATAGGTGGGAGAGGGGGAGTTAAATCCAACGAGCATTTATACACACAGTGTCACCACCCAACCTTTAGGGCTCGATGTCAGAAATGGACGATTTGTTCAGTCCCCGGAGGTAGGTTTGTGCTCATATTCTCGTGCTTTCTCGTGCCGTTATTACTTACTGCGCGACTGTCGGCTCGGCTTATTCGTCTTGACGAAGAAAGTGTGTGATGTTTGCGAGCTGTCCGCATCACTGTCATTAGGTTTAACCGTCTGTGTGTGTCGGGGTGCACGAAAGCGAGTGTGCACATTGTGTCAGTCGCCAGGAGGATTGAACGCTGTCATCGCAGATCACATACCGTTACGCGTTATTGTGCCACCGTAATGAAAACACCGTCGTATCTCACCGTTATCAGTATGTAACCCGGTGAATGCATAGTTTCTGAGACGCATCCGCGAGTGTGTTTGCGCCCTTTCGCCTGCTTGTATGACTGTTATAAGACCCGGTTATAAGCCCTGGCTCCATTTTGCAGCTCCTGTTTACAACCGGCATGACATGGCGTATGGAGCGATGCTGGGCTGCACACAAAGCTCCGCCGGGCTCTGCCAGCCCCGCAGACCGGCTCTGTTGTGTCCACGCTGCTCGCCATTGCACTTAAATACCACCAAGTTGGGTTTGTTTTTGCTGTGCTGCAATTATGTCAGTGTGCCACAGACTCGCGCTGTGATTGGCTGAAATTGATGGAGGGGGGCGGGGTTATCCTTGATTGCACACGCACACACACACAAAGTTGACCAGACTGTCACGTTGTTGTTTGGGGTTTAATAAGTAAGCCTGTAATTATTTGACAAGATTGTGTGCTAATGCTGAGTTAGATGTGAACTTGTTGAGTGTGACTTGTTTTACTTTGTTTATTGTGCTAGGCAACAGGCTTTGTGCAGCTTATATAAAACATTCTTACTAAGAAGTCAGTATTATAACTAATAACTTTGAGATAATGTCTTTCTAATCTACATTAAGAGCCAGAAAATTAAAAGACTAGCTTTTTGTCTACAAGAAATAAACATCAACTATGAAACCTGGTATTTTTTGCTGGATAATACTAGTTCTTACTTTTATTACTAACATTGACCTTATTTTATGTAAGTACTTTGCTGTGTCTGTTCAAGTATATCTGCAGTCTTTATGGAAACTCCTGAGAGCTTCCTGCTGCGATACATCTGTATTCTGCCTCCTCTCTCAGGACCTGTGCAGCATTCCATCTGAATGTCTGCTCTCAGGTATTTGCCTGAGTAAAGCATAGCTGTCTTCAAGACGCCGTTCTTATTCTGGTGCACCGGTCCTCATTTGTCATCCTTACAGCCTCCTGCCAAACGTACAGCAGACCTGGCCGACTGCACATTGTCAGGAACACGTTTGTAGAACTTTGTCTCAGCCAGATTCGCTCTTGCTCCACGTTACATGCAGAAATATTCTGCATTGTAGATATATAGTCTGTGCTGTGTAGGGAAAAAGCAGGATAATGGTATGTCTTTGTTTCAAGCTTTGTTCATCTCGTATAAATCTAAATAAAATAGTATTTAGCTAGTTCTCCGCTGCTTACTTGTAATAACTATTTCAAAACTTTCAGTCAAATATTGGCATAAGAAACACTGTTAAAGTAGGATTCAAGTATAATGAAATCGTTATGAAACCACTAAAACCTAATCTGAAGTGCTGATGATGCAGGAAATGACCATATTTTATCTTTATCAGCACTATTCATCGCTCTGTGTTCCCGTAGTCGGCCAAAAACTGTGATTTCTTTAGATTTACTTTGTCTTATCTGCTGAGATGAAATGAAGTGTTTCGACATGTTCTGGAGCAGCAGACAGTCCTGGCAGGCCCGGGGTCATTTACTGCAGCTGAAATGCAGTTTTTTTGGCCCGTGCTGACGTCGTCTGTGCCAAAGCTTCTGTCAGCCATAGTTCATAACAGTATGGATTACTCTCTCCTGTCTGAGAGAAGGAGGTCTGTTAAGAAGGGGAAAGGGGAGTCGGGTCAAATATGTACCCGTCAGAGGGTTTTGTGGTTGGAGCACTGTAAAGAGACCAGAGGGGCTGCGGCCTCTCAGGTTTCCGCCAGGACTCCGTGATGGAGTGCGAGCTTCTCTGGGTGCAAATCACGCTGACAGATTCTGGGCCGCCCCGTGCTCGGCTGTATGAAAATCGGCGCCGTTACCTAGGCAACGGAGGGAATGGCTTTTCAAAAGGAACATCTTGTCATTTTCTTTAATCCACTGCAGCTGGAGATTCGGAACACTATTATTAAATTGCAGTTGCTATGGCTACCAACATTTGTACCAGCAGCCGTTTCAGAGGCTCTCGCCCTGCATATCCAGAGCCAGCTCCCCCACCTCCACCCCCACCCCTCCTCCTCCTCCTCCTTTTAGGGGATTCTGTTTTATTGCTGCATCCACAATATCAGGCTTGCAAATGTGCTCTGCTCAGCTCGCTGTGCAAGAGCAGTCGACCAGGAATATTCTCCTGAAATCTTTATTTGTGTTTCAGAATAAAACACTGTGTACTTTTCTCGTATGTGACTTGCCTGTAATGTTTTCCACAATTGAAAGTACAGCTCATGTCTCCTTGCACTACATTTGATCTTGTCCAGGTCATGAATTATGTTTCTTACATTTTCTTTCTCTTCCCTGCATCGAGGCTTCAGTCAGTTACGATACCCAGTTGAGACTTTGTAGTTCGTGCAGTTGTTCAGCTGATTCAACAGGCACAATGCAGACAGATTTCTTTCAGCTAGCTTTGAAAATGCTGCCAAGTGAATATTTTGTTTCAATCCGCTCTCTTTGTCTCTTCTCAGGCGACTAAACAGCACACAAGGGGAAATCCGAGTGGGACCCAGTCACCAAGTAAGTCATTGTAAAGCACCCATCACTTAGCAGTTAACTTGAGAGATTGTTGTGAACGTTGGAAACCGCAGGAAGCCCTTTTTTATTTTTGGATTTATCACACAATTGGCTAATAACTCTTCTCTTACCTTTTATAGATGCCGTTTAGTCTGATTCCTGGTATCGCTTGTCATTTAAGATAAATCCAAACAAGATGTGTAGCAGCATAATAATATCTCCCCATTTAGCTTTAACTAAATGACAACTTCTCCCACAAAACCGTTGAAGCTGCTCATAACAATGAGCTAGTTTGGTCTTTGCTGCACTTCTGTTCTCACAAGACATATTATTTAAATTTAGTACATCTAAAACTTTCTATATACCCAAAAAATACAACAGCAATTTTATATGGTAGTGATGCCAGTGTGGCAGTGTACTAATGTGACACGCCAGGTGGAATCAAGATCCTGCACTTTACATAAGAGTTTGCATTAAGTTTGCATGATCATTTTACGGTGATGTTTGCACCTGTCAGCCTGTTAAACTGTACTGTAGCTTTGTATATTAACTGTGTAACTAAATTTATCAGTAAGTCATTTATATTGCCACCAAAAGTAGGAAGGATCTGTATATGCTCCATCTTTAAGAGAAAAAAAAAGGTCTTGAGACAGTCTTGTTCACCTGAAGTGCTTCAAGGACAGAAAGTCATCCGAGTGCTACAGTTCCGTGTTGTGTTAAGATATTGAATCATTGCCACTGTAACTTTGCCCCATTCCTCGCTGCCACCACCCAGTGAAAAGTTGATGACAGGGGGTTGAAAGCTGATATTTTCTTCAAGCTTGCAAGCTATTTGTAGTGTGACACCATCTGTCCTCCTCCTTCTCCCTGGACCTAATTAGGCCAAGCTCCCAGAGCTGCAGCCTTTCCCCTCTCCTGGTGGCCAGGCCGTGACCGAGAATGAGGAGCTGGTCTGGATGCCAGGGGTCAATGACTGTGATCTTCTCATGTACCTCAGAGCCGCAAGGTGAGTTCAGACCTGGCTGCCAAGTCTGCCCAACTAGTTCAGAGGAAAACTATCACCAATGATGTTAAAGGTTTTTCAAAAATATGTAACCCCAAACTGTCCACTGTATTGATCCCTGAGGGTAGCTGCATAAATTCAGAACTTAAAACATCAGTAAAAGTAAAAGTTTCTGTACCAAAGATTAGTCGAACCAAATCTCTGTAAGTCTCCAGAGTAGTATTTTATGCTACATATTAATGTTAAACTTCATCAGGTGTTGTATCATGGGATAAAATCATTCATCGGTGTTGCCCCGAGATGTTGCTGCAGTGAAAGTGATATGTGTTAACAGGTTTCTGTGTTAATGTGTAGTCAGGGGCCACAGTGTAATTAATCACAGTCAGTCAGTATGACAGACAGTGTTATATAAATTCCATCAGAGTCTATATCCATCCATCATATTTGTTTTCATGCTTACCAGTGTTACATAGGCCTATATTTATGTTGTATTTGAATATATGTGCTTAATGTCAAAGCCCTGCTCAGTGAAAATGTAGTTTTTCTTTCTGGAACAATGTTCAGTCAGACAGTCATTTGACTTTCACAGTAGCCCCAAATTATTCAGTGCAGTATAATGTCAGACGTAGAAAGATAGTAAATTCTTACATTTGAGAATCGTGAAGCAACAAATGTTTGGCATTTAAAAAAAAGATTAATTGATTATAGGTAGTTGCCAATCAGTTTTTTGTTGATGAAGTTAACAGACTGATGTTGAAGTTTCGCTACATTTCTTACCAAGCTAGCAAGTTAATTTTATAAAGGAAACAAAAATTAGCTTGCTATTGAATGTTGGTCAGCCTGTTCATTAGTTCCTTGTTGTGAATATTGTGCCATCTTGCTACGATGTAATTTTATTGTAATTTATGAAGTTATATCAGTATGTTGCAGTGCCAGAAATTGTTTTTACATGAAATAAGTAATTTATAATTCAAGTCAACACTTTTGAAGTTTGGTAAATGAGGGTAAAACTGTTAAGGTGACCCCTGCTTATCGTCAGCTGTTGACATCTCTACTAAGGTCATTTTAATGTTGATTTTACGTGTTGTCCACAGGAGCATGGCTGCCTTTGCAGGGATGTGTGACGGAGGCTCAACCGAAGACGGGTGTCTAGCAGCTTCTCGAGATGACACTACATTAAACGCACTTAACACTGTAAGTAACCAAGCAATAAGTCTAACACTAGAAATCAGGTGCACATGAGGTTTCTCAATAAAATAAAACAGAGTTTCACAATAAAATGTTGCGTTTGAATTGCCGGGATGGTACTGCTCTGCAGTGATGGGCAATGATAAAGCCCCTGAGCCAGTAGAGTAGCCCCCTGTAGTGAACCCAGCCTCAGAGGCTTACAATACATTAGGCGTAATGAGAGATTTGTCCGTCACATTGATAATGAATACTGAGGAATCAAGCACAAGAAAGAGATTAGAATCATCATAAACAGGGCATTTATATTCCGACTCTATAAACTGGAAAATTAACATAGCGGGCAGGTCATTGTCTCTCGACCTTCCTCTCTATTTGCAATTCCAATGAGTAATGCTTGTTTATTCTCAGAGGAAGAGCTCCAGTGCTGCCTGTTTCACCCATTTGAATGTGACACAGGGCTTAAAGCTGCACAGTGATTGCCTTTGTCACCGTGTTGTTTATTTCCAGGGTGGTTCTTGGATCTTTGCACAGCATTTCCTCTGATGCTCTAAGATCTCTAGTAAAAAGCTTCAGTCAATCTTGGATGTAAAATCTGTTTGTAATCCAAATCAGCTCAATAAAATATGTCAATACAGCTCAAAATGTCCCTTCGGTGTGACTGTAAAGAAAGCTGGCATCTTTGTAAAATGTTCCTTTTTTAATATATCCATGCATGGTTTTATAATCAGAATATTAAGCTGTTATTTTTTGCGATTGTCCTCAGCTTCACGAGAGCAGCTATGATGCAGGAAAAGCTCTCCAGCGTCTGGTGAAGAAGCCTGTACCCAAACTGATAGAGAAGTGCTGGTCTGAGGATGAAGTGGTAAGAGAGCCTTTGATTTGGAAATGCATTAACAAAGAAAATGTACTTAAAAAAAATAACTACTTAAAGGATGCAAGTAATAAGTTGGCATCCAAAACAATTTAATATTTTTCTTTATGTCAGGGTATTAAATAGTTGCTGTTTCTTGGTATTTCTTGTATGGATTGCTGCTGTCGGTCAGAGCTTGGTTTGTGTCTTTAGAGGGAGCTGTTGAGAGAGAGTTAGAACAAGGCTCTTGGCCCCCTCTCACAAGACATCACTAAAAACACTCGTCAGTTTCCAGCTCCTCCAAGGCCCGAGAGCAGCTGCATCCTGTTTATCACCCACAGAATAAATCTTAAGCGTGGAAGTCTGGAAAGGGAAAAGATTGAGGGCTGGTAATGTTAGCCTCCATTTGAATTTAGATGTGAATTTCACCACAGCTGTTGAAGGGTTGGAATCAGAAAATGGCAGCCCTTCTTCCTGATCAAACACCACATCATGAAGGGGTAGGAGGGGGAATTAAAGTGCTGGATAACACCATGTCAAAACAACTGAGAGCTGCGGCTTTGGCCTTGATGCTTTATGACACACTGCACTACATGTTTGTATACCAACTCTCTTTTAAAGATAACAATGCTGACTGTGGATCGTAGAAAAACAAAAGGCACCACCACTAAAATTCTTCTATGTTAGTTTTTCCTCCTCCTGGGTGAATCATCCTTTCCCCTTTGATATTGTTTGGTAGTGCTGAAGCTTGGCAGTCCGTTGTTGAGCTTTGAATACAGCAGCTCGGATCCGGTGGAAGTGAATGGGATGATTTGTCTCGTAATTGAACATGATGGGCACATTTGAATAAAGCCAGAGCCCACGGCAGGACCACAGCAAATCACAACAAATTAAGTCAGCCATCCTTTTGTGGACTGGTTATGAGTTCGCCTTTATTTATGCATACTTGCTGGCGCCAAGCTAATCTGCTGTGCAAAGATGATCAGAGCGGGGGACAGGCATGTTGATAGGAGGCTTTATTGCCACACTCCACCACAGTAGGTCTACCATAGACCACTTGCCAAAGAAGCCCAGTAGGGACTTGAGAGTAGGAGCTGTAAATACCCAGATTCAGACAATAAAGTGGTCACTTCAGTAAAAATTTACCATTACAGTGTTATTTATCTGTATTGATAGACTGTAGTCTTTTCTTATAATGCTAAAGCACTGAACTCAGTGGCACAGGCTAGGAAAAAAATGATCTTATATTTTCTTACAATGTGGCTGAAATCAGAAAATGATACCACAATATAACCCAACCAAACTGGATTTCTGATTCTCTATCTATCAATACTGATATATGGAAGTTTTAATAAATCAACATATAACATGAACAAACATTCTTGAGGCAGATTTCTTATATTGTTTTATCAATATGAAATGTCTGCAGTAAGCTAACATGGCTGTATACCACAACATAGCACATGTATGCTAAATGACATATAAATCATCACTGATGTTTAATGCAATGAATTGTGTTCCACTTATATATTAAAACTCATAACACATGAAATGCAAAAACCTTAAAGGTTTTAGAAATAAACGTTAACATGCTATTATCATATAATTATAATGAAAGATAATAGCATTGAATTATTGCCCAGCCCTGAATGCTTAATTTATTCAGTAACGTCGGTAAAGGCAGCTCCATCCACACTTCCACAGAGGAGTTTCATCATGTTCAGACAACATCATGTAAGTGAAGAGGCGGAGCTATCAGAGAGTCCAGTACACACTGTTGGCCATGTTCAGTCGGCGGGTGTGTTTTGTGTCTTGTGGATGGAGGCGGTCAGCAGGCCAGTCTGTGCTCCACCTGCCCCACAGGGGCTCCACAGCCTGGAGAAGCATCTTGTCTCTGGTCAGCCAAGGACACAGATCCCAGTGATCTGATCACCAGTTGTGCCTTTTCAGCCCTGCAGCCTTGAGGGACAGGTGTAAATGTAGCTCCAACCTTGACGCACTCAGAGAAATCAGCCCTGCTGCTCTTTATTTATTTATCAGCCGTTGCTCTGCCTCTCCTCCTTCCTCTTCCTCGCCCTCTTCCATCTCATCCCCCCTCTAGGACTAGCTTCATTATTCCTGTCTGCTCTTTTTTCACCCCACCCCTGCATTCTTTTAGAGATGTGAATAAAAGTGACAGCGGGGGCTGCTGGAATGACAGAATCAGCCTGTCTGCAGGGTCACTTGTCACCCTCCCCTCCCCCCTTTGACTTCTCTTGCCCCCTCCCACCCTACCTCTCTTCTCTCCTGCAGCTGCTGCCACATAGCACATACTAATCCTGGACCTTAACTCTCTAATGTCTAGAAAAATATTTATAATTTTTCTCCCCACACACTCTTCAAACAGAAAGATAAGACCACTGCTGTAATCATTTGTAAACTGTTTCATTACTGCTGTGGAGGACGTGACAACATTCGCAGTCAACTTGTGAACAATCTTTCACTGTGAGACTACTTACTATTGACTATTTATGTACATCCTCATCACCTTAATGTGAGAACCACTCAAAGGTGATAACTACAACGAAAAACCTCAAATGGTAAAAATGGATATAAAACTATAAATATTTCACCATAAACATCTACTGCGCAGTCTAACCTCCTTATAGCTGTGTACTGGAACGTTGAGTAGAGAAGTGGTTGATTTAACCATCAAAAAAAGGAAAAATATAATTACTAATATAATTACTGTTATTATGGGCGGCTGAAACGTTTCAGACAGTCAGTACAGTCCTCTGCTTTTTCTAAAGTCTAACCGAGAGAGGCGATTCCCACACCGCTTGTGTGTTTTATCAGAAGCCAGATCAATCCTCCCTGCCTACACACAACTCTCTTCCCATCCTTTTGATTGCGCTATAGTCTCAACGGCAAAAATAAACTCTCTTTAAATGACGAACAAAAAGCAGTGAAAAGCATACAGGTTGTTTCTTTTTGTTTCCATTAAATGCCTCGCCACTGATGCCGTATTGAAAAATAGCAATATTGTTACAACACTGATGTATGTAAATAACCACTTGTTGTAAAGCATGAAACCACAATTAGTTGACAGGATATGATTATCAGCAGTGAGAACATCTGCTTTTTAGATCAGAAAAATGCCGTTACAGATTTTTACTAAATGAACAGTTTTTGCGACTGAATCTTGGACTGTAGCTGACCACTGCTGACACTTTCTGGGCAAGTACAGATCCATGTTTTTGATTAAAAAAAAACATTGCACATTACGAAATAAAGTTCTGGCTAAAAGATTGTAGAGTCCTTGAAGTAGTCAATCCAGGTTTTTTTAGTTAATGTTCATGATGTGGTCATTTATTAGATGTACAGACAGCATTGAAAAACCTATAAAGAATTGCTTTTGTTGTTGTAATAAAGTATTGTGTCTTTTTAAGTTATTTCAGTGTCAATATCATTGTGAAATGTTCTATATTATTATATACAGATGTCATTACACAGTCTCATCATTGGCCTCTTTTTCTGATATCCAGATTATTTATTGAAGTATTAGTGAACAGGATTATAGTGAATCTCAAAAGAATCTCCACCTAAAAGAAACCTAAAAATAATAATAATAGTAGTAATGAATTATCAGTAAGTTGATACATTAAAATAACAGTCCTGACCACAATATACCGGTTATACAACAAATACATGATATCTTGTATCTACCTCCTCACACAGATATTACATTTTAAATGTACACCCAGTGTCAGATGCAGGTCTGCTGTTGCACCAATAACAGTCTTATGTCATCATTTGCCTTTGTTGATCTCAAGAGCTTCAAATGAATTGATTTTACTCTAAAAGTTTTATATTCAGACGTATCGCAGTAAAATCCAAAGTAAGGTCAGTATTACATTGATTCCTTTAAAGGTCATCAAAGGGTTCTTGTTCTCACTAGAGACATAATGAAATTGTCTCTTCACATGAACCTGCTGTCATTCCTGAGTGTAAATAAGCAGTGCTAATAATGCATCGGCCAACAGGAGGTGCCATATAAACAATCAGAAGCAGCAGCAGCGGCCATGCTGCGTGTCGCCATGTCAGAGACAGAGAGGCTGATCTATGACTGCTGGGGGGCGGCAGGTCTATTCCTCAGCGGCTTATCTCCGGCTGTGTCTTCAGCTGATGGATGACTGGAGCAGGCTGCCGACGGCACTGAGGTGGAAGGGGAGGGGAGGAAGACGAGGGAGAGGAGAGAGTAGAGTAGCCTCCCCCCAGCGGTTGAACACAGGCCTGCAGACAGACCTGAGATGCGCTGCTCGACCAAAAACACCACAGGCAGATACAACACAAAATGCTGTCTTGCTGCAGGCTATAGATTATTTCAAAGTTTAGACGAGCAGCTTCACTTCAGCGGTGCTCGTCTGCAGAGGGAGATCTGTTTGCTACACTGAAAGATTTAGTGTCAACAGTGCATTTTATCACCATTATGGTACAGTGCCAGCAATGCTTTTTAGGGTTGTTAAGTAACTAAATAGCAGGCAGGATGGGTGTGTGCTGGAATTTCCTGTCACCTTTTGTGTCAGTACGAGCCAAAGGAAGCAGAGGCTGTTACTTTGTCTGCTAAAGGTTGGCAGAACTATCCATGTTTATTATCAGGTAAAAACAGCTCTCTTGATCGGTCAAAGTAAGATCTTCAGCTACAGAAAAGTGTTTTTTTTTTTTTTCAGGTTTTAAGAAGGATTCCTAATCAAAGTGTATATGTCCTTTAACATCCACATACATTTTTGCATATCTAAACATAGATTGTTATCTTTATGCTCAGTGTCGGTGCAAAGAGGATGTGGGTAGTCTAGTGTCTGTCAATGTGGTCTCCCCCTCTCTTCTTCAAGCATGTTGTGATTTCCTCTCAGTACACCGTGGCCAATCTTATTACTAGCAGATATTTCATAACAGACGGCAGTGTTTTTACCCTTTGGTTTTGGCTGGCGGACTGGCTGTCCTCGGCCCTCCGGGTTTATACACAGCAGGCTTTGAAAGGTCAGCTTTTAACAACGAGTCAAGTATAATGACTCCATATTGAGTGAAAGTGGCTTTGTTTGCTGTTGGACGGTCTTGCGTCAGTGTTTTCGCGGAATGACATTTAGCAGGAATTATGTTCCACTCTGTTTGTCATCGTGATACCATCTTTGTGTATATGTCCGCATTATCTTAACCAGTTTTACAACTCCCAACAATCAACTCTCAAGCAGGAAGTGCGCACACACAACAATGGCCTACTGAATAATTTTTTCTCGTTCTCCTCCTCCTTTTATATGTCTCCTCTCCAACCTCACAATAGTGCTCTGTTAGCCTCCGAGGGGGAAACTTGGGGCGGGTGAAAAGCGCCAGCTCTCTGGAACACGCTCAGAGAGAGAAGCCTGTTGTTTCTGCACAGCGGATGGCCATTTGGTAGCGCTTCCACCCAGCTAACCCCCTCCTCCTCCTCTTGCTCTCTCGCTTGCTTGCTCGCTTTAGCTCTCTCAGCCCCTCCTCCGCTGCTGTGTTGCCTAGCAACGGAGGGCTGGAGCAATCAGAGCAGGGGCAGAGCGATTCAGGGAGCAGATTGGCGGATGATTTATTAGCTGGGCTGGAGAGCAGTGAGCCCAGGCAGCTGAAATGGAGCCTTAAACTGGAGCCGACGTGAAGGGAGGGAGGGAGGGTGGAAGGAGCCAGCGAGGGAAAGAAAACGGAAGGGAGGAGGGAAGCGGGGGAGAGGAGAGAGAGCGAGTGTGCACACAGCTCCTCTATGAAGATGGACGGACAGACTGTGTAAATAGTACAGTTGGGGAACATAATTAAGGTGACATAATTAGGACAGACACACAAGCTGCATGGGCAGAAGTGATTGTGGACTAGTCCTACATTCAATGCAAGGCAGGAAATCTCAATCCAAACTCTTCTCATGTACGGTCCCTTGGTGGTGGAACGGGTAAACAAACTCAATTCAGTCAGCAGAATCCCTCTCCGTCTTCAAAAATCTGTTTAAGACCGGTGTCTTCCAAGAGTACTTACGCCGTAATATGCTCTTTCTCTCTCTACAAATTGTCCGTTGCTGTGCACTGATATGTTACTTCATACACCTGCAGCCACATGACACTTCAGGTGGGAGTGTTATGGTACTTATTCTTATTCACTTTGAACAGAAGCTTCTCCCAAATGAATAAATGTAATTGATCAGAATCTCTCACCTTACTGCTAAAGAGACATTAAACACCTCACTGGTATTTATCCTAACTCTTCCTCAGGAGTAACTCCTTCAGGATTATTTAAATATCTGTGCAAACATTCTTGAAGCTAATATTTCAGAGGGATATTTACTTAGTTTTGTCATCGCAGACCAAACAAGCCCTGTACTGTTGCTCCTCTGCAGTGGCGTTCCACTGGTTATATGTAGCTCTGTGGAAGTTTGACTGACAGTCCAAATGGTAATCTGCTCTTAACCCCTTGAGTGGTTGGAGATGGGTGTCGGATGTGGGGGAGCGCTTGTGTTGGAGACGGCTCCATCTACTGGCTAATCAACCGTTACACCTTCAGTGTGATTAATGCAAATTAACTGCTGTCTCATGTCACTGATAGAAGAGGCTTTTAGTTCAGCTGTCGGCTCTTTTTCATCCTGCTTTTGATCAGGCCTCTTATGTTTGATTGTTTAGTCTGGTCTAACTGAGACATATACTTTTATATTTTGCTATTCACAATTACACAGTTAAACTCTAAAACTCCAGAATATTGAGTTTGTTTGCATAATAGAGATAAATACAGTCATTCATTCCTTTTGTTGAGATAGGTCTGTCTTTCTCGCCTGTAATTTTTCCCTCCTGAAAGACTGTTGTGTTTTGCAGCTGGCTGTGTTACTTCTGTAAATTAGGCTTTTGTTCCCCACCAAAGCTGGGTATGTAAACAATCTGTGGTTACATAATGTACTGTACATGGCATGGAAAAATGGACTCCTGACACTCAGGAGAGACTCCATGTCTGGTTTTCCTTCTCACTTGTCTCCTTCCACCATGTCCAAGACCTTTCTCCTCACAAATTGTATCAGCCTGCCTCCCCTCTCAGGCTGGCAGCTTGTTGAGTTTGTGCCTCTGTGCTCAACCCAAGCTCTGAACGCATTTAAAGGACTGCTGTAGTTTCTGTTTCAATAAAACTGCCAGCTTCGGTGTAGTTTTAATAACAATCAGTGGCCTGGCTTTTCCTGTGTGGGGGAGACATGAAGCCTGCTTGTGCCGTGTTAGCGGATCAAGAACAGGCTGAAATGAGCGCTGCTCCCAACACCAACGTGAAACACAGGACTCCACTCCAGGTTTTCCAGCCTGCTGCGAACCAGAGGCTCTCTTGCAGAAAGATCACATGTAAAGCCTTCCCCTTTGTAGTGGAAGAGCAGAGAGTGACAAGCTATTTCTTGCTTGTAAAAAAAGAGGAAAAAAAAGCAGTGTACCGTCGGAGACGTTGTGGATTTGCCCCCTAATTTTTCCTTTACCTGTGGCTGGACGTTAGAGATTTGTGCCGTGCTCCCTGAGGACTTTTCCCTGCTTTTTGCTGGAGTTACTTTGTGGAAACGGTTGGCTGAGATCACTGAGGAGCGGGGCTCGCCTCTGGAACAAGAAAGTAAATCTGTTGGTTGTCTGCTTCGCTGGTTATGAATGTTTTCAGCCTCCGCTTTTTATGGCTTGCAGTCTCAGGCTCTTAAAGGAGAAGAAATGAATTTGGTGTTGTTCAGCTTTTTTGCATTTATTTGTTTCTGGTGTTTTTGAGCTCATTGAGGTGAGGTGGTGTGTCTAAATTCAGTTTTCATGTCAGATTAAATACGCTGTTATGAAGTAGCAATTTCTGTCATCAGGCCGTTCATTTCTTTTCACTCATGTAAGGCTGTATTCCTCAATTTTACATTGTTTTCTGGGCTTTTAAAATTGGCAAAATGTGCTGATAGAAATAGAAACTGTCCACCGTGAACAGTGAGGCATTTTGCTTTCTTTTCAACTCTTAAGTTTAGGCTTTGACTTTAAACTTTTCACTCATGTGATTAACAATATGTCCAACATGTATAGCATTGTGTATGTTTTTATATTAGATTATGTTTTATAAAACTGTATTTTCTCTGCACATGAAAAGGCGAGCTTAATCTCAGCGTCTCTCCCTGCCTTACTTGTCATTTCCTCTCTCGTTTTGCCCTGACATGGCTGTGTTTTCTCCGGAGTTTAAACGGCTACAGAGGTTTCTAGATACACATCAAACCTCTGCAACCACAGACTAGCGAAATGAAAACAATGTTTTTTGTCATGGTGCTAGCCTGTAACTTTATGCGGTCGCAGTTTAGCTGACTTCACAGATAGTAACTGGTATTTTTTTCTCTCTCTCTCTCTCTCTGTCTGTTTGTTCCTCTGTGAAAAATTGCAGAAGCGCTTCATTAAAGGGTTGAGACAGTTCGGCAAAAACTTCTTCAGGATCCGGAAAGAGCTGCTGCCCAACAAAGAAACGGTAAGAGGAGTTATTTCTTTCTGTACTGTTGAACTTTTTCACTGTGTGTGTGTGTGTGTGTGTCATTTGTTTTATTGCACTGAAACATATAAAATGGGGTACATGTGGTTTGCTTGTAACTAATGGAAAGCTTGAGCAGTAAAACATTTTTAGTGTGATATTTTGAGCATGGCTGGTTTTTAACCAGAGGCCTTATTGATAAGAAGTAAGTGCTGCCTGCCAACAACTGTGCTGCAGTATTGTCAGATCTTCCTTCAGGCTGTCTGGGGAGAAAAAAAACAAAACAACAACTTGTTATACCCGAGAAGAGAAAAGACTTAATGTACTTTACAGACAGGTACACTTACAAGTTACACGCTGAACATTAATTAGCACCCTCTGTTAGCAAGTAGTAAACAAGTTGTGCAGATGTGATCTGAGCCGCTGTGTTTATAGCACATCTCAGGTCTGAGGAGCCGCCCTCTTTACCTCTTGTTTGTGTTCAAGTGTTATAGCAGCACCTGAGTTTGTGTTTTGCTTTTGTTACGCGTTCACCCGACATTAACTGTAGTGAACTATAAAATGCTTCCATGAGAATTAAAAAGTAGGTTACAATGGGAGCCTTTTTACACAACGTGAAATCACTGATAGCTGTGATTTTAAAAGGACCTAAATTATATTTGTGTCTGAAAGTGGATAATTGAGGTTGAACTATAGGCAAAAGACACAACTGAGATTATAGTGCTTAGTACTTTCTTTCTTTAAAGGCCCAAATGAATTATTTTTAGCATATAAATTAGATATATTCATGCATAAATATTTTCAATTAAAGATGTACAATTGGGGTTTTGTGTGTTTCTTTCTCAAATGATTATAGCTGATAATATATGCTCCTTTGTTTGCTAACATCACTGATGTAAACAAACCTTTAGCATCATCAGAAAATATTACTAACTATTTTGTGAGTCCCTGTATTCAACTTGAGAGTAACAGTAGGTTCCAGATTTATATTTTTTTCTGTTTACCTTTGGGACACAGATTATTATGCCTTTACCCATTTTAAGGATTAAATTATAATGTGTCTGTATTATTATTATTATTATTATTATTATTCTTTCTTAGTGGTTTTAAGGTTTGTCAGTCACTTACGAAAACATTGATCAACGGAGACAAAGAGAAAGATTTCAGGAACTCTTGTAATTGTGTTATTTATGTACACTAGCAGAAGCATGTTCCTCTTGTCAGAGCCTGTGTGTGAGTGCGCACGCGTCAGTGTGTTAATCAGCACTGAACAACTGTGTGACTTGTTACATGAGTGAAACCCAGGTCTGACAATGATTAACAGTTAACCTTATTAAAGGTGATCATTATGTAGAAAACAAAGCATAGCAACCACACAGTTTGTGCTGTTAAGCTCCCAGCAGCTTACTACAGTTTTTGTTTTGTATATCTGCACAGTGAAGAAGCTTGAAGAAGTTTTTGTTTTTTGTTGGCTGTAATTGGCAATAAAGGGAACATGTTGTACATGAACACGTTGCTTCAAAGTCTGACTTAGCGGTTAGATTATTCCTAAATCTGCATTTTGATTCACAAAGCAGTGCAGACCTTGCTGTTTCTGTGAGGCTGCTCATGCTGGAAGTGTGCCGAAGCACTGCTGACACAGACATCAAAGGAAAATCAAAGGTGTTTGTCATACTTCTCGCCACTTCATTTCCTCGTTTGCTGTGAGCTGAGGATATGTCAGGCCCGCTTCTCAAACAACCCCCCCCTTCCCTACACATCATGTAATATTTTTACTCAAGAACTCTTTAGTGTGTCACCTCCTTTATGCAGCATTTTTTATTCCTCAAAACCAATTTGAACCCCTTGAATAAGAGATTAAAGTGTGTGAATACACTTTCCTCACAGAGGTTTCTTCAATTATCTTTACTGGTTTTGAAATATATGACTAGTCCAGTTGATTGGCTATAAAGGAGGTATTAATGTAATTCAACCTGGAGGGGGAGTCTACTTGGCACGGAAGGTAATAGACCTCCTCCAGGATCTAGGCCTGCCACCACCACAGAGCAGAGACAGATTAATTTTTCCCCTGCAAATGGAAAATAAACTGCCCTTTAAACATATGAAAAGAGGAGAAAATGACTGGGAGAGCAAAAGGAAGGTAGCAGTGACCGGAGGAGAAGGGGGAAAGGTTGGGGCTCAATATAGACGCTGAAAAGACAGGTTGTCGCACTGGGGGGAAACAAACAAACTCTTTGCTTATGATTGAACTTGCTTTTGTGCTGTAAGACTGATCTGAGCGAGTGCTAGTCAATACCCAGAGGAAAGCTCCACTTATTTTCTACCTGCTCATTTCAAAATCCTATATCAGGAACACAAGCACAACAACATCTCCAGATATTTTAGAACTGGGGAAACCACAGGCACATATTTCTGTTATTTCACTTCGAGCTATCGAAAAATAAGTATGTTGCGGATGTTAGCATGTCCCTGTCTGAAGTCCTGGCCCGGACTGCTGTTGTTGAAATCGGAGTGCAGGGCATAAAGCCCTTGGGTCCAGAGGTCCAGTACAGTGTGTCTGCCCCTCACTGTTCCTCCCGCTAGCCCCTATTAGCCGTGCTGCCCCTGAAGCGCCAGCTCGGCTCAAACTGCCAGTGCCAAGGGTAAGCACCCAGCGCTGTGTAAACACACCAGGCCTGACTAACACTCAGGAATGCTTTATATAAAGTCACATAAAGGCCCAGAGGGGGAAGTGGGTGTGTCGTCTGACCGTCTGCAACTGGCTTTGCTGCCACCATTTTCTTCACTCCAGAAAGGACGTCATGGAACATGAGCTTGCTGCTTCCAGTGTTTAAACAGCTAAATATGCTGAAATGGCAGATTACAGATAACTCTGCGCCTGATATTTTCACTCGACGGGGTTTTCATAAAAATGTGGTTTTAAGGGATATCAACAGACGGTATTTGCTGAACAGCTTTGTATCAACCACAGATCTGTTTGCTGCACAGCCAAACAGAGAAATTGACAGTTGAAAATTAGATCAAATTAGGATGCTTATATTTCGGCTTATTTCCGTACATGACTGAGTCCAGACCATTTCATTGGTGGAAAAACAGGGCAGTGGTTAACTTACTAATGTTGTAGAGAGATTAATGTGCAAATAAGGGCATATTAACATAACTGGACTTTGACTATTTTAGGGACGAGGCTATTTTCAGTGTTCAGTCACCAGTTTCCCTTTCCTGCGGTGAAGGCACAAAGTAAAATATGCATGTATTTTTGTGTCCTATGAGAAATTGAAATTGCCTTAAAATACAAGTAATTGATTTACTTTCTCACCTATCATCGTTTTATGTATTTCTAGGTCATAAATATATTTCACAATAGTACAAAGAGCAACCATAATCTAATGAACTAAATGAGGCACTGTAAAACAATTTGAGTATGTGTGTATGTATCAGTTTGGTTTTCCCTCATGCCCCCATTCCTGCATCCTGTTTTTAATATTCTTGTGACTGCTCGCCTTTATCCAACATTTAAATATTAAAGTTCACACATTATGTTCATATATCCGTGCAGAATTAGCATTAGCACCGACACAGTGAACTAATTGTATTTTGGTGACATTTTGTAAAAAATAATTTTGAGAATTAAGATACATAAAACATGTATGTAGTAATATAATACCATAATACAGTTTTACTAAAACAGTCTGCTGCAATCCGTGGAAACCTACAGGACAGGAAAAAAAGAATAAAACATTAAACTGATTCGTAGAGACATTTTTATGCTGCGGGTTCCCGCTTTGTTTTGGCATGGAGGTGGAGAAGTCAGAAAGGTGGTGCGGCAGTGTGTTAGGAAAGCTAACACAGGTGAAGCCAGACTGTGTATTTGGTTCGTGTTAACGTCACAAGTCAAACAAGTGTACTCAGAATCATTGGTTCCAACAGCTGGACAAGTGATAGCAGTTATTTGAAAAATATATAATTTTCAGTAATACCGCTGTCTTCATTTGATTGTGACCGAACAGCACAGGGCACAGAAGTCACTGTGACTGCAGAGCATGTTAAAATTTTCAGGGCATGTGGGCGACCTGAGTATGTCTGATTTTTAAAAGGCTGTCTTGTTTGTGTCGGGACTCAGATCAAGCAGAAGGTGATGTGCTGAGCGGTTCTTGCAGCATCTTGTTCTCTCAGAGAAAAGAGAGCACTCAGCCCCCCCCAGGCCCTGTCATTTACAGGATGGCCAACAGGAGGACAGTGTTCTCAACACAACCTCACAGCAGATGTTTGCCCTGGTACAATCTGTACAAACGTCAAATTGAATTCATTGCCATGTCCTTAGCTCAGCAGCCAGAACCTTGGGGATGACTGTGATTATAAATACTTTGGTTCAAACACTAATTAAACCAGCTACAAACTACAGGGGCCTGGTCCAGTTGGCAGCAGCTGTCAGTAGTGTGACAGAACAGCTTTCGTGTTTGGTAAGTGATATAACTTGTTTAGGCATTGAAATCGCTGTCAGCTGATGGAAGCTCAACCAGCTTGTATTGATGTTCTTTCAGAAGACCACAGGCGATTTAGCATGGTGGACTGTAGGCAAAATCTTTTTTCAGCCTAATAGATTGAGCACGAGGAGCCGGAGCACCCTGTGTAATTGAGTTCTTTGGTAGGCTTCATGTTGTGGTTTTGGGGGACTATCTTATCAGCAGAAAACGCAGGATCGACCCTCTAGCAAAAAGGCACTGTTGCCACCCAATCTGCTTTCATTGGCAAAAGCGCTTACAGCAGGAAAAACACGAGTGCTGATTCTTCAGCATGTGCATCCCTGACCTGTGAAAGCAGAGCTTATTCAGTCATTCTCCGGCAGAAAGGCTCAGCGCAGCAGGGAATGGCTGTCTATTTAACCGCCTTTCACATACACTCTGCTCCACTAGCCAAGGTCCTTTTACTATTCAGTCGCCGCTATCTGCCGATGGGCTTCGAGGCGTCAGCGTGCTGCAGGGCTATTTCTGAATCCACTTGCATACATGTGGCTGATACCTTGAATATTTGACAATATTTGTCCCCTGGATTTTATTTCACAAAGGCTCTGAGGTGAATTGTGCAGCTTTGGCAATAAAAGTTAAATTAAACAGCAACTTTGATTTTATTTATAGGCCACAATATTTTAGATTTGATTAAACTTGCTGCAGGAATATTCTTATATTAGTGTTTATGTTGTTTAATTAGCAGTAATTTATTCAAAGACCAGCTTCTAACTTGCTAACTGTGACAAGCTAGTCCCATTTAGTGAGCTTGAGTTTTAGAGCAATATTTTTATGTCATCTGTATCCTTTAAGGATCACAGATACTTTAATAGGAATGCTGTTTAGAAACTCCAGATAAGTAAATATGCACTTTTTCTACAGAAGAACATGTTAAATGGCCCTGTAGGCATCACAAGTATGCTTCTGACCTGCTTAACCGCATAAGCGTTTACAAAGTTACCCCCTACAGTTACAGTCCGCGTGAGGATGACAGAAAAGTCAAGCACCACTCACTGAAACGATACACTGCGCAACCTGTCATGGACGATGAAGAATACCAAGTCCAGGGGTCGAGCACATACATAATTAAACCCTGGTTTGATTTAGAGCAGGGAAATACATCCCCCCTTCACCTCACTGAAATGAATCAGGAAGCAATCCTACCTCCTCCGGCTGCAGACTGTGGAGGAAGCAGGAGGAGCACAGGTTCACGCTGCACTAATGGATGTTTACACAACTCACTATCAGCCACCAGAACCCAGAAATCACATGCTCCCTGCTTGCTCCGCTCTCACAGCTGCTGCTACACTGCTCTAAGTTTTTAGCTTAGGTTTTTATTTGGTGAGAGATTTTTAGGTTGGGTTGTGGTTGGGCTGAATGTTGATTGTCCATTGTTATCCTCTGCTGGCTCTTTATTCCTCCCTCTCGGCTCTCCTCCACACTCGGCCCTCCCCCTCCTCCTCAGCTCTCCCCTGTTCTCTCCTCCTTCCCCTGCTCTTGCCAATAACGGCCTTAACCGTTTGGCTTCATGTCAAAGCAGGGGCCTTTTGTGGCTCTGTCACAAATCTGCCAGGAAAAACAGAAACCATCTGTTCAGGCCTGGGCCTGAGAGGGGATGAGGGTGTAAATACATGAGTTTAGCCCTCGCCCTCAGCCCTGCTTGCGCACACAGGACCACCGAGCTCAGAGGAGGATTCTGCACTGCCACTCACCCTCAACCCGCACTCCCACCTGCAGTTATACTGTAGTCTACTGTGGTTTCATGGTTAACCTTATTCAACCTAACCTTTACAAAGAGGAACATAAAAACGGTTTAAAACACAGTGACTGAGTACAAAAGTGAATATGAGAACATCAGGAATTATTTTTATGAATTTCAACACATAAAATTGCTACCATGTAGAGACTGAGGCTACATTTTCCTCTATCACCTTTTGACTTCAAAATAAATGCATATCTCTTTATATATTTTACATATTAATTTTAAATATCTCTGTATTATATAATGATATACTGTTAAGATATAAAAACAGTGTATTTATGTACCAGCTCTGGACTTATACTATCTAAAGAGCACAGATGACTTTTTTGTAATTTAACTAATTTATATTAATTACAATGAAATGAGGAAGAGTAAAAATCATGGCACAATGGATGAATATCAGTTTCTCAGGGTTGGAGTATCGAAGAAAACATTGCTGTACATAATCTTGAACTCCACATGCATTTCACACATACATACTTGTATGTTGACGACCATTTTAAGTGGCAATAACCGGGATGGAAGCCCTGAGTGTCGTGTTAGGAGGGTAAGCCCTTTCCTTGTCGGATAATCCACCGGCCAGAAAGCTCCTGCAGATGGAAGCAGTCTAAAAGGCCTTATAATACAGAGCTTATGTTGTCACTATCTCATGTTCTGCCGAGCGGCAGCACACTCTGTACCGCTCTGCAGTGATTTAGTGGACTGGGGGAAAATTATGGTGCGGAGGCCAGGGCCAATCTAGATTTCTATTTCAAGTATTTCCATGAATTTTTACTGGTGAACTGTTTTAGAGACAGGTTCATGGATTTGTTTCTGCTTTACTGTCGTCGTCTTTTTATGAAGAAATGGCAACTTTTCTCGGAAGCCTCCGTAAGCACACACAAACTCGCTGGCTAAACACCCGATCACGGGGAAGGAACACAAGGTAATGAAAGTGTTACTGTGGGCATATGGCAGCGTGACAAAGTGACTCTGATAGAAAAAAAGTACACAGTGTGAGGGATCGGACATATGGGGCTTCAGGGGAACCAAACTTGACTCACAGGCAGACTGAGAGGTAATCTGTCAGTCTGCCTTTCACACTAGTTTACAGCACAAAGCCCCTCTCAACCACAGGAATGCCATGTTCATCTTCAACTGCACGTCGCTCCCAGACACCATATGTAACGCCAGTATACGTTGAAAGTCTTGTCTGTGATGTGTTGCAGACATCCGTCTTTGCTTTGTCAACATGACTGTATGCAAAGTTAATATTCATGAACTGTAAAAGCAAACTGTATAACAAACATGACTAAAGGTTTTTTGCTGGATACATTTTTAATGGAGGCCGAGAGCCGTAACTTTTCAACTCAACAGATTTACACTGAATATGTTAAGCTGCTTCTTTTGTTTTCCCCTTTTCATTCACATCCAGCTCATCAGCGCACCTGTTAATTCCCATTCAAAAGCCCAAGTTAATGTTTTCATTAGCCCCTGCCTAATGTAATGGTACTTGACACAGTGTAAGTGATGGAGAGGCAGGGTGACCTTTCTCCGGGTCTGCCAAGCTGTTGTTGAGGCCGTGTGGTTGTCAGCCTGCAGCGAGGAGGCAGAGAGGTACTGCTGAGAACAGTCATTAAGCACAGAGCAAAGCCAGCGCTCGGCACCACTCGACACTTTTGATCTGCACATTTCAATTAGATTTCACATCAGGACGCCTGCCTTCCCTCAGTTAGCACCTGCGCCCTGCCCTCCCAACTGGCCGGCCAGGCTGAAGAGGGAGGCGCACAGGAAACAACTAGAAAGTTCTGTTAGCAGACTAAAATAGATGCACAAACACATGGAAACACAATGGAGCTTTTTTTGGTGATATAACAACCATTAACTGCTCTTTCTTGGCATGAACATTGACAAACAATGTTTTCAGGGTTATTTGAAGCTCTGTAAATGTTCCACATGTAGAAGGTTAATTTTTCCTTCTTTATCCAACTGTTTTTTGTATTTTAAAGGAGCCCTTCTCATTTGTCTCTGCTTAGCATCTACATGTGGAATCGTTCCCAGGACTCCAGATGTGCTCATCTGCTGCAGTCTTGAGGTCTAAAAAAAAAAACCTAGTCAAGCTGCAGGGCTTGGGACAATTCTATGCCGGAGAAATGGCTTTGCCATAACACAGCGCAGCACCTTAATTTACCCTGAAATTTGAGAAGGTTTCATTGAGCTCAGACACCCTCGGTAAATGTTCCCAGCACTGCTTTGCCTGATAACACGAAGTCCTACAGCCACTGGTAGATATGAATTTCCCCTAAGAGCTACATGAAGGGATATCTTATTAAACGGGCCTGAGCCCACTGAGTCGAACATTTTCTGCCAATCAAAGCAGTGATTGAGAGAGACTTAATGTCAGATACTCACACGATTTGTTGAAGCGATAAAACACTGGCCCATGTTTTCTCACAGCAAACAAAAAGAAAACCAACTAGCCTCAAGTAGTTTTGTATTTCATGAGATAACAAATTAAAGCTGCAGTTACCTTTATGTTTCCATTAACACCAGCCTATTTATATTGTTGGCTTTGTAACAATGTTATTTTCTCTCATTGCTAAAATAGAGTTGAATGAGAAGAAAAAAATCCACCATTTTATCAAATCTTTTCCTGCCATTGTTTGTTTTGGTATGTTTTGATAGAAGATGTTAAGCTGTTGCTGAAAAGCTGTTAATGCATTTTAGAGAGCAATGCACTGACTAATTTATGTCAAGTTTTCAGCTGAAGCGGAGAAGAACAACAATCGATAGCCATTAAACTCTGGGAGCTTTGTTGAACAGCAGTTTAACAGACCTCAAACAGTAGATGGGTGCCCTCTGGGCTTTAAAGATTACAGGTGACTTACTGCTCACCCAACAATCACACCACACCTTCATGAATTTGTTATAGAGCCAGTGGAAGACCACTGACAAGAGTTCATGGTGAGGAGGAAAAGGGCAAAGCCCCACAGGAAACTGCATAATTGTCTGTGACTCCTGTCGCCAATTTTCAAGGCTTGTGTATTATGAGTGTGGCCGGAAAGCAGCAGTTAATATGCACAGGCTGCCTCAGCAAAGTGCTTTCTGATCCATGATTGCATGTGTTAATGTTTCAGTTGGGTATTGATTTCCTGGCGGCCTTTTGTACAGTGGATTTATCCGCCTCGCTCACTGGCAAGCGCGCCCCTCCGAATGTTTGATTAAAGTTCAATTGACTCTTCCAGTGAAGGGGCGAGGAGCCATTTCACTCCCTATTTGTAGCGCCAAAGCTCTGCCTGACATGTTCTTTTGTTCCCATTCAAGCTCCTGCCACCCAGGCAGCCACCAATGCACTGATCCTAATATCCCTGCATTCAGTGAGCCTCCTCGCCTAATCCTGGGACAGACAGGGCCGCAGCACAAACATACCCAGCCAGCTACAAATCCTGGCATGGACTTACCTACTCCGTGGCCTTTTCACTGTGAAATACTGTGCTGACTGCTAATGTGTATTTTCCACATATTATATTCAACCTAACTGCAGATACTTCACAGTGACTATTTTCCAATTTTTCAACAACTTTAAAAAATAGACCCTGATTCCTTTTAATTCAGTCAAAAGTGATGCCTCCTCTTCATTACTACTGCACACGTTTGCGTTCATATATTTGCCCGTTTTAACAGCATTCGTTTTGTGTGTCATTTCAGGGAGAGCTAATTACCTTCTACTACTACTGGAAGAAGACCCCCGAGGCAGCCAGTTGTCGAGCCCACCGCAGACACCGCCGCCAGCCCGTCTTCCGCCGCATCAAGACACGAACCGCTTCAACTCCTGTCAACACTCCCTCACGCCCACCCTCAAGCGAGTTCTGTACGTATATTTGACTGCTTCAGGGACAGGGGAGGGGGGCGGACATGACCTGATATATTCTGGTGTTAGAGCAATGTATTTGAAGTGTTTTTTTGTTTTTTTCTCTCTCTCTCTCTCTCTTCCAGTGGACCTCAGCTCAGCCAGTGAAGATGACTTCGACAGTGAAGACAGCGAACAGGAGCTGAAGGGCTACGCCTGCCGCCACTGTTTCACTACCAGTAAGACACCGCGTTCCATTTACAGAAACTCACACTCTTCATGTGGACTTGCTTGGCTATTCCTGTCCTGATTAGGATCAGTGTGGGCCTGTGCAACACAGCGCTGTGTGACAGATGGGCATCATAAGATGTCAGGACTAATTTGATCAAATCAGACATGAGCCCATAGCTCGTTCACTCTCTCCACCTCATTATCCTTCCCCTCTTTCCACACAGCTGGCTCTCAGTGCCAGGCTCCCATCTGATCTGCCATCACAACAAGGGTGGCTAATAACTGGCTTTATAGTGTTAACCCATATAGTCATTACTCAAAATGTACATATATTATGTAACCGAGGATATATACGGATAATGTACATTATCCTTGCTTCAGATCGTTCATTAAAAAAAAAATATAGCATTAGATTAGATGTAACTATAAAGTTACTTAAGGACACTTTCTAAATTCTGCAGTATTACTGTAGTTCAGAGATCATTTCTGCATGTTTGTACTTCTCACCGCTTGTGAGAGTGTTATTTCACAACTGTAAATGGCTTTCCTCAGCCTCCAAGGACTGGCACCACGGGGGCCGGGAGAACATCTTGCTGTGCACAGACTGCCGCATTCACTTCAAGAAGTACGGTGAGCTCCCCCCCATCGAGAAACCTGTGGACCCGCCGCCATTTATGTTCAAACCTGTCAAAGAGGAAGAGGATGGACTCAGCGGGAAGCATAGCATGAGGACCCGACGGAACCGAGGCTCGGTACGCACACACTGTTTTCCACCCATCCCTCTATTTTCACCTTCAGGAACCGTAGCCTCAGAGTTATCCCCGGAGTAACGCAGAGCCAGACTACAAAGCAATAATCTCTTCATCTGTATACAAGTAGTACAGGGACAGCTGTGACATGCATTGTTTCATAAATCTGGTGTGGACGTATGGTATATGTCATCTTAATTCCTTCTATCCAAATTGTGTGGAACCATAACATCAGTCATAATTAATGTTAACTGTGTTTGTTGTTAACAGATGTCGACGCTACGTAGTGGTCGTAAGAAGCAGACAGCCAGTCCCGATGGCAGAGCCTCGCCTACCAACGAGGATTTGCGATCCAGCGGTCGTACCTCACCCAGTGCAGCAAGTACTGACAGCACTGACAGCAAGACAGACTCCATGAAGAAGCCCAGCAAGGTAAACACAGCACAGATCACTTGAAGCATTGTTCGTCTATACACATATATCTGTGAAATGTACCCTAATGGTTCTGCTATTTTGGCTCCACAGAAGATTAAAGAGGAGGCTCCTTCACCTATGAAGAGTGCCAAACGGCAGCGAGAGAAGGGAGCCTCAGACACAGAGGAGCCCGAGAGGGCCAGCGCCAAAAAGTCCAAGACACAAGTGCGTTTATGGTCTTTGTTTTGCTGTTTGTTTGTGTTTCAATGGAATGACCTGGTCTTATGATATTCATCCCTCTCTCTCTTCTATCCTTCAGGAGCTGAGTCGGCCAGACTCGCCCTCAGAATGCGAGGGGGAAGGGGAAGGCGAGGGCGAGAGCTCTGATGGGCGCAGCATCAACGAGGAGCTCAGTAGCGATCCAAAAGACATTGACCAGGACAACCGGAGCTCCTCCCCAAGCATCCCCAGCCCCCGTGACAATGAGAGCGACTCAGACTCGTCTGCCCAGCAGCAGCAGCTCCTGCAGAGCCAGCACCCTCCAGTCATCCAGTGTCAGCCAGGCACCTCAGCCACCTCCTCGGCACCCCCTCCGCCTACAACCTCAGCCCCCATACTGGCCCCGCAGGTCTCCCCCTCAGCGGCCTCCACCTCTCTACCTCCCCAGCCTTTGCCCCAGGCAAGCCCGATGTCTCTTATCCAGTCAGGATCGTCCCTCCACCCTCAAAGGCTTCCCTCTCCACATTCACCTATGACTCAGGCTCCGCCCCCTGGCCCCCCAATCCCACCTCAATCATTACCGAGCTCGCATCACGGGCCCATGCCTCCCATGTCACATCCGCTGCAGCCTGGCCCCTCACACATGCCTCACCCTCACTCAATGCCCCCTCAGGGCTTCCCTGTGGGTCAGTCTCAGGTCCCACCCCTGCCACTCCCTGGCCAATCACAGCAGAGGCCACACACGCCTCCTTCCCAGTCCCAGTCATCTGCTCAGAGTGGAGGCCAGCCTCCCAGAGAACAGCCCCTTCCCCCTGCCCCAATGTCCATGCCTCACATCAAGCCCCCGCCAACAACACCCATCCCTCAGATACCCAACCCACAGTCCCACAAACACCCACCACATGTGTCAGCGCCTCCATTCCCTCAGATGCCTTCAAACCTGCCTCCACCTCCTGCCCTCAAGCCCCTCAGCTCTTTAGCCAGCCACCATCCTCCATCAGCACACCCACCTCCCCTCCAGCTCATGCCTCAGGGGCAGCAGCTCCAGCCTCCCCCAGCCCAGCCTCCAGTTCTCACTCAGTCCCAGAGCCTCCCACCCTCATCCAGTCACCAACCTCCTCCAGCTCCTCCTCTGCCACCCTCCGCAGCAGCCTCACATCCCAACGGGCCACCGCAGCCGACATTTTCGTCTCATCCTTTCAATACAGTTCTACCTCCAACTGGCCCTCCCCCATCCTCATCAAACTCTATGCCTGGCATACAGCCTGCATCTTCTTCCACTCCATCCTCCTCTATCTCTATGCCACTGCCTGCCTCGGTCACATGTGCCGGCCCGGGCCCGGCACTCCCGCCTGTACACATCAAAGAGGAGCCTCTGGACGAGACAGAAGAACCAGAGAGCCCTCCACCCCCACAGAGAAGCCCCTCCCCAGAGCCTACTGTCGTCAATACGCCCAGTCATGCCAGCCAGTCTGCACGGTATGTCTACAAGCACCGATTTCTACCTCAACACTATCTGTAAAAGAAGAAAACATACACCTGCACGAGCTGTTGTTAATCAGTAGTCTGGTGAGCTGCTTAGTGTCTTAGGGATGCTGATTAGCTCTGAAACACATCCAACAACAAAGAGTCTCTGCCTTCAGATTTTCAGGCTTTGATGTACGCAACAAATCGAATGTCCTCAGCAAAACAGCCATCCAAGGCCACAATTAGCCCAGAGCTCTGAGTGGCTGATGGCTAGGAATTATCGGGGATGGAGAGCAGGGAGATTAATTATAGTGAGATGCGAGTGAACTGAGGCATCTGAATATGAGTATTTGTAGTTGCCTTGTGTTTAAGTGGCTCTCAGACTGCCAATGAATAGCAATGATGATTTTAATACATACTCAGTGTAGCCGCAAAAGTGAATGCCGAGGGAGTTTATTTCCTTTTGAATAATGGACCAGTGTAAGCGAATACAAGCTGTCTTTTCATCTGATGGGACATTATCCTGCCATTCAACATGCAAAATTAAACATGAATATCATGGCTCTAGCCTTTTGTCTGTTTGTAACAAGTATTAATTTATGAACAGGAGCATCATACCATTTTTCTGAGTAAATGTTTTCTTCTTTACCATGACCACAGGTTCTACAAGCACCTGGACCGGGGTTACAACTCGTGTGCAAGGACAGATTTCTACTTCACTCCCCTGGCTTCATCTAAACTGGCCAAGAAGCGAGAGGAAGCTCTGGAGAAAGCCAAGAGGGAAGCGGAACAGAAAGTAAGGGAAGAGAAGGAGAGAGAAAGGGAGAGGGAAAAAGAGCGAGAAAGAGAGCGGGAACGAGAGAAGGAAGCAGAGCGAGCTGCGGTGAGTGGTTTTGTTTGTCTCTCTTTTGTTTGGCAGTGCTTAATTTTTTCTTCTTCTTTAAAATCTTACTAAACACAGCATTCCTCCCCTCTCCCACAGAAAGCCTCCAGTTCCTCTCACGATGGAAGAATGAGTGAACCTCAGATGGTTGGCCCTGCCCACATGCGTCCACCCTACGACGGCCCCCCCACTACGATTGCAGCTGTGCCTCCCTACATTGGCCCCGACACGCCTGCCCTACGCACCCTCAGCGAGTACGCACGACCCCACGTCATGTCCCCCACCAATCGAAACCACCCCTTCTTTGTGTCCCTCAACCCTGCAGACCCCCTGCTGGCCTATCACATGCCCAGCTTGTACAATGCTGACCCGGCCATGCGGGAACGTGAGCTACGAGAGCGGGAGATGCGTGAGAGGGAGATCCGTGAGAGGGAACTGAGGGAAAGGATGAAACCTGGTTTTGAGGTTAAGCCTCCAGAGATGGACACACTCCACCCTTCCACAAACCCCATGGAGCACTTTGCCCGGCATGGGGCTATCACGTTGCCCCCCATGGCCGGTCCTCACCATTTCGCCGCCTTCCATCCCGGCCTGAACCCATTAGAGCGTGAGCGGTTGGCCCTTGCTGGGCCCCAGCTGCGGCCAGAAATGAGCTACCCAGAGAGGTTGGCTGCAGAGAGACTCCATGCTGAGAGGATGGCCACAGTTGCCAATGACCCCATTGCCCGTCTACAGATGTTCAATGTCACGCCGCACCACCACCAGCACTCACATATTCACTCCCATCTCCACCTCCACCAGCAAGATCCTCTTCACCAAGGTAAAAGAAAGCCCTGCTTGTATACATTCATGTAAATGTCTCTGTGCCACTATTAAAATTATTTAATACATCAAATGAAATTACTACAGCTATATAAATTATATTATAATATTCAAATATAATAGGGAAATCTATGTTATTGCTCACTATTTGGCCAACGCAGTTGCGTAGCCCAAAATGTTATACTTTAGCAGACATATTCTGCATGTTTTTGATACATTGATCTTTTGTAAACAGTTATTCTTAACACATTTGTAAAGTGATGTATGCATATTTTAGCTTATTTTTTTGAATGTTTTATTGTGTGATATTGTGATTATTGTGTAATTTTGAAATTATATATTTTGACATGGTATGATGATGAGATCTGTGTTATCAGCACAAAGATAAGAAAAGGGTGTTTTATAAACTTTGGTAAATTGTTAACATATTTCAGAAATAGTAGAGGACCCAGAATAGAACCATGTGGCACTCCACAGGTTAGTTACCTATTCAAGATTTAGCCATTTTAGGATTCAAATTGTTATTTAAACTGTTAACAAACTCCTTAATGAAACCATTGTTTCAAAGTTTTATAATGAAAACATTTTGTTTAACAGTATGAAAGTCTTTAGATACAATTAGTTAAGAATACATCTGCATATACAGGATGTTCTTTTCAACTTTGTTGGAAAAAATTAAGAGTAGATGATAATGTAAGTAAGAATTAGGGTCACCTGATTTGTTATGAGCAAGTTATATATACGAATAAGGAACTGATCAAATTGAACTCTTCAGGAGGTTAATATTAGCTTATCTTTTATTTATATATTTAATATAGACCAGGGGGGATCAGTGTGCTATAACATGAATCAAGTTTTCTGTAAATGCACTTATAATACTCCTCTCATCACAGTCAAGACTGAAAAAGGGACTTTAATTAATGGTACTTCTAAATTGTTCACCACATGATCTGAAACTCCACCTCATATTTTATTCTCTCTGTAGTAATGTACAGAGTTGACATATGAGATTGCATATGGGTGTGTTATATCCTCATTATGTTTCTGATAGAGCCGGCAGATGCTCTACAGTTGATAAATATAGTCAAGTGGTCCCTGCACTCTTTTGGTCAACCTTGAGAGGAGTAACATTATATTAAGCTGTGTATCACTAATGCCTGTTGCATGCACTGTCTGTGATACAGTATCTTGTAATGAGTGTACCCTGAACCTAAGACTCTGACGCCCAGAAGGTGGTGGTGAATGTCTTGTGTGTCCTCCAGGTTCGGGGGGCCACCCCCTGGCAGTAGATCCCCTGGCAGCTGGACCTCACCTGGCCCGCTTCCCTTACCCGCCCGGCGCCATCCCCAACCCTCTCCTCGGCCAGCAGCCGCATGAACACGAGATGCTGCGCCACCCAGTCTTCGGTAGGCTCTCTGCCAATATCATCTCTCATTAACAGTAATATCACGTCCAATCTATCAATCCGAACTCTGCCAGATTGCCTGATCAAATCTTTTTCTTGTGCCTCCTCCAGGTACCCCCTACCCACGGGATCTACCAGGAGGTTTGCCACCACCCATGTCCGCAGCACACCAGCTGCAGGCCATGCATGCCCAGTCAGCTGAGCTCCAGAGGCTGGCCATGGAGCAGCAGTGGCTTCACGGACACCATCACATGCACGGAGGACCACTGCCTGGCCAGGAGGACTACTACAGGTCAGAGATTAGACGCAGAAATTTTATTTGAAAAAAAAAAAACCATTTAGATCAGTTGAGTCTGTGTATTAATGGTTGATGTTGTTTATGTTTCAGCCGGCTGAAGAAGGAGAGTGACAAGCAGCTGTAACCAGTCAAGGGAAGCAGCGACTGACAGGTGCAGGACACGGGAAGTTGTTACAGAGTTGTTACATTCAGTTTTGAAGAACGGAAAAGGCCAAGTGGATCGTCTGAGAATTCCTCTGATATTTGGTTTCTGTTCCTGTCAAAGACTTTTTTTTTTAATTATTATTTTTTCAAGACATTGACTTTCTTTGGTATATAGCCAGTAGTGACAACGTCCTCAAGACTCCTGCATGACAAGCTTCCCTGACGTTTTTTTGTAGGTGCTAGAACAAGACACTGTGCTTATCAACAAAAAGAAAAAAAGACAAGACCGGTCAGGCCGTTTATGGAAAAATAACAAGTGCTATCTTAAATTCAACATTTATTTTAATACATTGTTGGAGGTTTTTCATAATTTTAAGAAAAGCTACAGCATGGCGTTTTTGAGTCTGTAAATAGTATATATAAACATATAATTATTATTATAATTATTATTATTACTAGGTGTGGACTCCAAACCAAGTCGTTTCAACCTCCAATATAATTGTTTTGAAGCATTATCCCTTGTTTCAGAGGGGAGCACCATGGCATTATTTGAGCAGTTTCTGAGAGAGTTGTGGTTCAGTTGTGACGTTCCTCTGACATCACTGTGTTACATTTAGTCCCACATACACTATGTAAACCATAAAAACTGTCACACCCACATCCATTCATCACACACCTTTAACACACAGGAGGTTGTCAGAATGTGTAAACTCAACGTGTTGAGTTAATGATTTGAAACACTTGAAGAGGTGACACAGTAGTCACTGAAGCTTCTGTGGAGTGCACACATGGATTAAAAAGAAAAAAAAAACATTTGCACTGAGAGTATCCTTGAGCTCCACTCACCTGGTTTTATCCTTTTTGCTTAAAATCAGTATTTAAGTCTACAAAATGGAGTAATACTTCATTATTTTTTTGTTTTTACAGAGAATGATTTTAATAATGATTTTAAAAATGTGGACACCAGAAACATATTTGGCTGAACTGAAGAAGAGTTAAAATTGCTTCGAGGTTCTTTTAAATTATGGGGACCTGAATTGTTCACTGTAACAGGAGCTTAACAGGACTTTAGGATTGTTTTAAATGCGTGAATGGTTGTGTGTCGGTGCTAGTTGTGTTGTGGTGTCCCCTTTCTTTACCTGGTCCGGTCAACCACGTTTGTTGCAGGGCTCATATCCGACTGAGTCATCCTCCAACTAGGCTGTAATAATGTTCACTGTGACACTAGAGGGGGGGGCCTGCCGACACGTGACGACCAGGAGATAGAGGGTCGACGAGTGTGTGTGAATGTGTGTGTGTTTTCCTCAAGATGTTTTCGTATGCCTTGGTTCCTTAGGGATACACACAGCCTCCTGGGCCTCAGGAGTGGTGTGTTTGTTTGTGCCACTGACTGTTACAAGTCGTGTTGACCTGTCATACCAGTGCACATGAGCCCAAGTTTTTCTTTTTGTTTATTGAAATAGTTTTTTTTTTTTTATTGTAGCCATGACATGAGTTTTGCATTTGTTCCATGCACTAAGACTGTTTGACTGTCATGGACATTAATAAAACTGTGGCTTTTTTTTTTCTTTTCTTTTCTTTTAACCAAATGAAGAAACTGTACTTGCATTTAAAAGTGACCATATCTACCCATGGAGCACTATAATTTACATTTAAACGCTTGCAGTCATCATCAAACTCATGTCCCCTTTTTAAAAATCCAAAACAGTCTTTGAATCCCTTACAAGAACCTGTCACTCTGTCTCGCCATCTCCCACCAATTCCTGTCTCTCTCCTGACGACGAGCTTCTCATCATCATCTTTGCCTCGTTTCCTGACGATTCCCTTGCCTTTTACTCCCTCTTTTTGTGTCTCCAAAACCTTTGATGTTAAGTGTTGTCAATGGTTTAGCTTCTTGTTTCAAAGCGGCAATAGCAGAATGTAAATTCTGACTGCTAAGATTTATATATATACTGGTATCTTGAAGCTTATTGTATATATGAGTAGTCGCCATGGGATGACACAATGTAAACAAAAAGTAGAAATAATAAGAAAAATTGTGAGTCCTGTGTTCTCTCCATTTGAGTATTTTGTAATTTTTTTGAAAAATTTGTGGAATTAAAATAAACGACTAAGTTACACCACAAGATCTGACTTGATCTGTTTTGTGCTTCCTGATACGTGAATGAAATCTGTCTATTTGTTTGTGTAAACAGTTGTTTGTAAGCAGGCTGCTAAATCCCAGCAGCCGTGAGACAATAATCCTTTCAAGGGTAAACAATTTTGATTACTCACTGCTCATTTGCTGAACGGCAAAGAAAGAAAGAACGAAAGAAAACAGTTAATTCCATCTGTTTTTTACATTTGTGAAATGTAATTCTCCAGCTGAGCAGAGGGACTGACGCTGTGTCTGTTTTGATAATACTCATGTCCTACATTTGCTCTTGAATAATAGAATTTTTGCACGACGGGAGAAATGTGTTACAGAATAGATCAAGCGTTCCCGTTTCTCTTTTTCTTTTTTCCAGCCTTCCATTTTCTCAGCTTCACAAATACTGAGCTTTGAGAGATCACCTCAGCAGCAGGTAGTGAATCTCAGAGCTGAATATTGCACTGCTATGGTATAATAACATCAAAGCTGGGCTAAGCCAGAAGGAACACTTACTCAGGCTGAGATGCCTTGCTATCAGCGGGGCAGGGCTGTCATTTCATCCTGTGTGTGGGGAGCGACAGACCAGCAATCTGTGATGGTGTGCCGCAGCGATGGCTGTCATTTTGAGAGGGAGCTATTATTCTACTGCTGCTCTCTGAAATGATGCCCTGTCCTCGGGAAAATCGAGGTTCCTTGGATGCTCTATCCTGGGGCTGTCATGTGACGGCCGCCTTGTGAGGAGGTGCTGCTTGTTGTTGCCGGCTCGCCTCACCTCCCCATAAGACACAACAAGACGTCAGAGCCGAGCAGCTCTTGCTGGTTGAATAATTCATCTCCCCCCTCCCCATCCTCCCCCTCCTCCACACCGGCGATCGAGCGACTGTGACTTGTGTCAACTCAAATCCTTCTCATAATACTGTGTGTACCCCTCAGGCAGCCACACAGGAATACATAGTCTCAAAAAATCTGCTCTTTCTGTCTGAATAGCAATATGTCTTGTGCTGTTCTCGCAGTGTTATTGTGTCTGTTGCAGCAGGTCTCGGACATGGAGCCTCCTCATCCCCTCCATCCTCCTGTCTTTTTCTTACGCTCCACTGGGCCTGCCTGCTGCAGAGTGTGATGCTCAGTGGCAGAGAGGAGCCTACATGCCATTAGTGCGTTCAGCTGGAAGGTAGCCGTGTGCCTTCAGCGGGTAGCTCTGCGGCTGCAGCGTAGCCGAGCAGGGCCCTGTTTATCTAAAAATGAGCTGTGTTGACACAGAAAGCAGATCTGCTGTTTGTGTTATTCCCCATCCGTTCATGATTTAGATATACATACTAGATGTTTTATTTGCCTGGTATTCCCCCAGGAACCATCACCCAGTTTGTTAGTTTCATGTGCTTAATAAAATCTCTTGATAATGTTTTTTATGCCTCCCTCATTTAGATCTCATTTAGTTCTTCTAATGTGGTTTAGAAGCCGAAAATAATCCTGTTAATTCTCATTCGGATAATTTGGTTCTTGAAAGGTTTAAATTGTTAATTTTGGATAATGTTTTCCTGAATAACAGTGCGACTTTATTTTGAAATAAAGGCAAAATGAGGAGAGAGTTGGCCTATGATAACCATTCATATGACATATGAGTGCTGATCTTGTTATTGCAGTTACATGAGATACAAGTAGGTGTGTAGAGAATCATCCCAGCATGCACTGGGGCAATAGATTCATGGGCATACAGTAAGTCTCCACACTTCATCACATCACTGTTAAAAATGAGATATTACCGGTCAAAATTACTCAGACATTTAGGAGGATCTATTGGCAGAAATGGAATATAATATTCATGGGTAGGTTTTCATTAGTGTATAATAACCTGAAAATAAGAATGAATGTGTTTTTGTTACCTTAGAATGAGATGTTTTTATCTACAGACACCGCTGGTCACCTTCCATGGAGTTCTCCATGTTGAACCACCATGTTTCTACAGTAGCCCAAAAGGATAAACGCAAAGCTAGCTGTAGTTCTAGATAGTGCTGTTTGCCTTTCTCGCATGTTTGGCGGGTACTTAAGTTTCTCCCTCGCACTTGATTCACACACCACTTGATTCCATTAAATTCTACACCGCTGGACCTTTAAGTGACAATCAGAAGTCTACTGTGAAAATAAAACCTCTTAAAAAGCAGCTTTAATTGAACAATTTTCAAGTAACTGAGTTGTCCAGTTAGTTTTAGTTAGTTTCATAAATGTTCAAATGAGAAGTTCTCATTTTAATGGCAAAATAAATGCCATGTGTAGTACCTTCATCAGACTTTTAATGGTCTGTAATGGACAGACCTTTATTTTACTTTTATTTTATCATATATGAGTATAGGTAACTTCATTATGAAAACATAACTGATAATTACAGCAACAGATCATAATGATTTCTAAACCTGCATGTTCTAATCTAAAATCATAATTATTAACATTATTTTATTATGAAGCTAAGAAAAGCCAAATGTATCTTAAAATACGTTCATAGGGGTCATGATCCTGCACTTCTGCGGGTTTGGGTTTTGGGATTTGTTGCTTTGAGATGAATTTAAAACCAGCTTCAAAGAACCAAAAGATCCAAACCCATGTGAATACATTATAATCTGCATATCCTGGTTATCCATGTACAAAAAACAGGGCCCGACAGTCAGTCAGTCATTTACAAAACAGCAACCTGTGGTTATGTAAAAACTCCATTCAAATTGAGCACAGCTGTAGGAATTTGATGCATGCAAATAAAGGTAATTAAACACCTCTAAAATGCAAATGAGCCTGTCTCAAATATGCATACATGCATTTGATTTAAAACAAGGTTTGTCCCTGCATTTCCGACATCTGAATATTCATATCAATGAAACAACCTTCATTTTCCAAGGAAAGGTTAAAGCAAGGTTTTCCTGTAAAGCACTGGAATGATAACGACACCTGGGAGAATAAACTTTTAAAGTCTGCTATATGGTAAAATACTTGTCATGTTGCTGTCTGCTTTCAAGCACTTTCCCTGTAAAGTCAGAGTCCTACAGAAAACGTTGGCTCTACATTTGTCACAAAGCAGCCAAGGAAACTAACCTGCAGCTTCATGAAAGACTGAAACATCCTTCAGATTTCCAGATAATCGACCCTGCAGTTTGTCCACCGTCTCTGACCCTCTCGTCCCCCAACCCCTGCTCTAATCATCACCCTCCTCACCAAACATGGCTCACAGCTTCATCCGAGGTTGAATTTCCTCTTCAAGTCTGTATGTACAGTGGGAAGTGTGTACCAGTGTGTGGTCTGCGAGTTCAGAAGTTAACTGTGGTTTTAAAAAGAAAAGGAAACAGAAGAGGATGTTGGGCTTTTTTGAAATAGACGGAACGATCTAGCAGGAAATATTTCATGGTCTGGGGATCTCTTTTGGCAAACTTTTCATACAATATACGATAAAAGACTGTTTAACAGCTTTTCTGTTCCTGTCCGGTTCATTCTGATACATGGATCAGCCACTGTGTCTATGAACTCATCTTTTATAGCTGACAATGATGGAATAAAGCTATGAACATTTACTCAAGTGCTGCACTTAAAAACAATTTGGAGTCATTGTATTTAATTTGAGTAATTTTTGTTACTTCTAATCCACTACATTTCATTTTACTTTTGATAGTTTAAATTTTGTTGCTAATACCTAAATACAGAAGGTTTACTTAAAGGTCCAGTGTGTAACATTAAGGAGGATTCACAGGTACGTTTATATTAGTGTGTAATCACCTGAAAATAAGACTCATCGTGTTTTTGTTACCTTGAATGAGTCGTAGTTTTTATCTACAGAGAGAGCAGGTCCTCTTCTACGGATGCTGCCATGTTGAACCACCATGTTTCCATAGAAGCTCAGAGCAGACAAACCAAACATTGGTTCTAGATACAGCCTTTTTTTTTAGGTTTCACTGTCATCATAGTTTCTCCCGCACGCTTGGAGGGCGAGTGGTATTCAGTTGGCTGCAATCTGCAAATTCACTGCTAGATGCCACTAAATCCTACACGCTGGTCCTTTAAGTAACATTTTAAATTGAGGATTTGTAATTGAGTACTTTTGTAATTTGGTATTCCTACTTTTACTTTAAAGATGTATTTAGAGTCAGTGTTTGGTTTCTCTGTTCTGGGCTACTGTAGAAACATGGCAGACAAAACAGCTAATTCTAATTCTTATTTTCAGGTGATTATCCACTAATGAAAACATACCTATGAATATTATATTCCACTTTTGCCAATAGATCCTCCTAAATGTTATACACTGGATCTTTAAGTAAATTATCTTACTTCTTCCACTTCTTCTTATAACATGCCTCTCATTCATTATTATATCTACTTATACAACCAGGTATAATATTATATCTTTATACAGTATTGTATGATATATAATAAGACTGAAAGGAGCCATTCTGCATTATGATATGTTTACTTTTGATGCTTTTTGCTTGTAAAATACTAATAGTAGTGATGATAATGCTGGTAGTAACAATATTATTTTATTTTATTTTATTTTATTATATGTATTGCTAGTTACTTAAGAGAAAAGAGTACTCTGCCGATTAAGCAAAATCAATGCAGATATTGTCTCTATTCCATAAATTCTACTTCCTTGTCAAACACAGTGACAACATCACCCACAATGCACCTTCACCACACACAGGTCAGGCAGGTGAGTTATGCTAGTAGCAGCTAATGTAGCCTGAGCTGTTAGTTTCAAGCAGAGGTGAGGAGCAGGTTACAGAGGTATGTCGAACTAACGTAATATTATTTAATCTTTAAACTTGTGACTCGAGTGACATCACTTGAGGCCATTTATCAGATTTCATGTAGCTCCTTCTTGAGCCACTCAAGGCTTTATACAATGTTTTTTCACATATGCGATATAGCACTCCATAAGAGCTGTAAACAGACTTTGAATCAGAGGTATTCTCCTTAAAGTAAAAGATTTTTATGCTGCCACTCGATTTAGGAGTTGAG